AAAAACGGAAATATGTTTAATAGAACACATGCCCATGATCTACGCTAGCATAGGCGGCGGAACGGGGAGGGCACCGGGGCACATTGCCCCCCTTTGATTTTGGCATTTTAACGTTAGTCCTTGTTATAAATCGAGGACTTAGACAACTTTAACAAATTCGTTTATATTGCCGAAGCACCAATCAAGATACAAACAATACGAATAGCTCCGATTACAAATTCGAATTTCAATCCACAAACTCGCTGATCTTCAATTTCACATTATTTGTCGCGCGCGGTTCGTGCACTTTTGGGCAGACGACTTTCAATACACAACATAGTCCCCCCGTTGCAGAAGGTTTGAGTGGACCAATCACATATCTACCTACTGCAACACATGTCAGTCCCTAGATGCAAAACTGATACAGTTTACAGAGCACATGTCACAATCAACAAACACTGTCTTTCCACCTCTGCTCTAGCACTCGGCTGTAACAGTCGGGCTACCGAGCGCTGCCTGTACTGCTATCGCTCTGCTCTCCTACACCAGCTCCAGGTTGTGTAGTCGCTGAACCGCACAGCATGTGCGGCGCCCATCACTGGTGCGGACCTGCACGGACTGAACCACACCATCCGGTCCATGATACAATTTTTCAACCGTGTCCATAGGCCATGTCAAACGCGGAGCATCGTCCCGCCTGATGATCACTACACTGCCGAGCTTTACATTGCCTCTGGTTCCAAACTTGGGAACGATAGCTGGCAGGTTTCGTACATATTCGTCACGCCACACACGCCAGAACCGCTCTAATCGCTCGCTACGAACTGAGTTCAGTCGGCCTAATGCCTCCCCTGACGCACCGTCTCTCACTTCGGCAGCCTCTTCTACATCGGCTTCAAGTTCGGTGTCGTTAATCACAAGTTCGATCTTCTCTTGGAACGCGTCCACATTTGACGTTCGCTTGTCCAGCTCTGTAGGAGCACTTCGAAGTTCTTCTTCTTCACATTCAGTGTCGATGAGCTTCTCTATTTTCGCAATGGATCGTTTAAGCCAGGTTCGAGATGCTGCTCGTCCACGCCTTAATTCAGCGATTGTCGTCATGCTTAAAGGTAGTGTGCCACCTTTGAAAGATTTCCCATTTTATTTTTCCTAGGATAAGAAGCTTCTGTTTTTACCTAATATCGCCAAAAAAAATCAAAAAATGGGCCTGGAATAGTGCCTTTTTCGCCTACAAGTTTTTCGGTTTTTAGATATGTATAACAACTGTAGTGGGCTCACCTGCAAACAGGCGTCGGGCAACAATCGCGAATGCGGCGCACTTGTGACAATAAGCAAAGGTCATTATAGTGTTACGACCATACGATGTACGGGAATGAGTTATCAGCTGTCTAATCGTAGACAACACAATGTCGAGCCTTAACCCGCGCCCTGGTGGGGGGGGGGGGCTATTTTTTGCCCCCCCCCTCCAGACTTTTCGATATATCTCCAGAACCGCTGCGCCGATCGTCACCAAACTTTCAGTACCCTCCCGGACATCAATTTTACACATTGTGACCAAAAATTTTTCCAAAGGCTATGATAGGTTGGCCGGAAATGACGTCAGAGTGACGTCATGTTCTGCCGTTTTCGACCCAAAAAAGGGTTTCGCGGGAAGAGCTGTCAGGCCTATAGCTTTGCAAATACAGAAAAACGATAAAGACATAAAAGCTGTAGAATTGACAGGGCTACAAAACTGCTATCTCGGATTTTTAAAATTTTTGGATTTTGACCCCAAAAATCAAAAAATAGATTTTTTGATTATAATTGCCGAAAAATCCAAAACGTTTTTTGAATTTCGAAAAAAACCGGAATATATGTGATAGTCCTTACCGCCTTCTATCTACATACCAAATTTGAGATCGATACCTCTTTTTTGGCCAAGTTACAGCGAAAAAACTGTTCAAAATTGATGACGTCAAATTTTCAAACTCAATTTTTAGCAATTCTAGACCTCGTAACGCAAAACAAAGACCACCATTAGACTCCCCGTGACGAGCTGCATCGAATCAATACCCATTTTATGCAAAAATATCAACTTTGAAATTTGACCTTTTTTGACCTGACCTTGACCTGACCTCCACCAGAAAGTGACCTAAGCCGTACCTGATAGTCTTATAACCAACACCATTGAGTTGGAAATGAAAAATTGGCCATAAAACATGCATCGCACAACCTTAGTACCTAAAGTTAGGTTCATGTGACCTGACCTGTGACCCTTGGTGACCTGACCTGTGACCTGACCTGGTAATGTCAGTGACCTCTTATAGCAATATATGTACTAGGCAACTGACGCCCTATCGCTGATTCTCGACAAAATGCGTTTTCTTCGGTGTTATAGCGCATTCCCTAGATGACCCGTGAACGGTGAAACATTTCATCTTTGACCTGACCTGTGACGTCATCGGTGACCCCGAGGTCAATGAAATTTGGTTTCCCTCGACAAATTTGACAGGCCTTTCGAACGCCGTTTGAATTTTGCGGATCCGTCCAGTAGTTTCGGAGATACGAGGGGGGGCAAAAAATAGCCCCCCCCCACCAGGTCGCGTTATAAACAGACCCCACCAGGGCGCGGGTTAAACTGTAAGCCCGTATTGGTATTGTTTCTTTTATTTGGCTGTCGAACATTATTTATGGTTTGAAATATGATTTTATGTAAAATAATTGATATGAAAAAGCCGTCTTATCAGTTATGACCCCATTTCACCACACGCAAGTGGCAGAAATGACAATGATCAGCTGACGCATTTTTCTTGGCCGAAGTCAGAGCGCGCGGCCCGACGCACCACGCGTATTTGGAAATTCCGAACTCGACGAGCATCAGAAGCCACCTAACAGGCGTGTTCGAAACCGCAGGAGATGATGATGAACGGGTTTATCGAAACTTGATTGGATGAGCATATCGGTAATAGCGATTTCAGTGTGTGCATTTATTGTTCATAGTGGTGTGAAATGTGGTTGGGGTACGACCGACAACCCGTCGGGGCGAATTTCGCACTGGGGTACTCAAAATTTGAAGAATTTAAGACGTTTCCATGAGTTTTGAAGGTATGGATAAGTTCTAAAAATCCGGTTCTCCTTATCTGGGCCATTAACTCCATACGGTCCAAGAAAGCTGGCACACTACCTTTAAACACAAGATATGTCGACCTATCTTAATTTCGGCAATATAGTTCCCGGGTTTGGGCACCATGTTATAAATCGAGGACTTAGACAACTTTAACAAATTCGTTTATATTGCCGAAGCACCAATCAAGATACAAACAATACGAATAGCTCCGATTACAAATTCGGATTTCAATCCACAAACTCGCTGATCTTCAATTTCACATTATTTGTCGCGCGCGGTTCGTGCACTTTTGGGCAGACGACTTTCAATACACAACAGTCCTATGGGCGTTGCATGGAAAGAATGGGACCAAAAGTCGGCAGTGCCCCCCTTTGATTGAAGGTGTTCCGCCGCTACTGTACGCTAGCAGGTTTTTGCCAGACCTCTTTAAAGGAAAAGGGTCACCTTTAACATGGGGTTTGAAACTGAGATGGCCATCTTGTAGCCCGTGTCCGAAAACCCCGAGAGTGTCCCACCTTACGGCCGATTTCGGCCTCCATTTGTAGGTATCGGCAATTTTAAAAGAAAATATGCCAGGAATGCGTTCTTATCCTCTAATACAGCCACTCGCGGCGAGGCTTTGGTTTTTAACCAATCAGCTCCAATCAGCTCAGCTTTAACCAATCAGCTAATCTGACACAGGCCGACGAGACTGTCTTCTGAAGGCTGATTGGCTTGAGTGTGATGTCATCGCTATGACATCATACAGAAGGTGCGGTAGAGAGTACAAACGTAGTACCAATATGTTAAATAGTTTGACATACTTTTTTGCGAATTATGCACTTCTGGCACCAGATTTAAAAAGAACATGAAAAATAATAATGTCAAAATGAAAAGCAACGATATCTTCATATTTCACGAAGGTGGCACTTTTCCTTTAAAAATAGTTAAGCTATACGCATTATAGTCAAAATTTCACTGTTAGAAATTTTTCAAAAAAATTTTACAGTACGTTCTTAACATCATACACCAATATTAATAGCACCATCGTGTTCCTGAGCTTAAAGGGACCCTCCCACCTTAACATTAGTTTTGAGTTGAGATAGCCAAATTGGTGGCCATGGCCTGAAAATACCGGTTTGGGCATTCACAACATCGAAAAATGCTTTAATTCGGAGATATGGAATTTCAAACTTGCAGTTTTCGGATTCTAAGGGGCTAATGCATTGGTATGCCCCCTTAGAATTTGTGACGTCAGCGGAGATCTAACGATTTTTAAATCTTTTACTAAAACATTTGGCAGCACGCGGTGGTATATGCTGCTTTGCGCGCAACAAATGCCGCACTTTCAAATAAAGTCGCTAGGAACAGCGGAGATCCCAAAAAGTAAACAAAAGTAAAAGTCTAATATCTTGAAAACCGGTGAATATTTTTCGATGAAATTTAGTAGATATTCATTTTTGCTCTTTCTGAACCGAGCGACATCACTTTCATGCCAATTCATTAACTTTTTTGAAGGTGGAAGGGTCCCTTTAAGCCTGAAACTGCATCGAATAGACGCCTTTTTTGTTGAACAGTTTCAACTAAAAAAAGGTCCTTTTTTGACCTGAAAGTGGCCTGACCTTAGCTAAATTCAGCCCAAACTGACCTCAAATGACATAGATGACACTGATATCGAAGTCCATGGCCTAAATTGTCCATCAAACATGTGTCACGTAACCAATGAATGATATCGGTGAGATTTCCGTAACCTGGCCTTGACCTGAAAATCAAAGTACAACTTAGGTACCCTAATGGTATGTATAGCATCTATTCACGAGTGTGCAAAGAAAAATTAGCCTGATCTGACTTGCGAGCCGGCAACCACACTAATTATTGTTAACAAGCCAAACATTGATAATTTTTACTTTGACTTGACCTGTGACGTCATCGGTGACCTCGAAGTCAGTGAAATTGGTTTTTACGAGACAGTTTTTCCGGGGCTATAAGGCGCCGTTTGAATTTTGACAATCGGCCCAGTAGTTTCGGAGTTTGGGAGGGGGGGCTATGAATAGCCCCCCCCCCCCCCAGTAGGGCGCGTTACAATGCATACTCCATTGGGGCGCTGGTTAAAAGATCATTTTGATTGGGATATCACAAGACTCATTACAGCTCATCGACCAAACCTTTGAACGTCTTTGCAACACTATCACGAAGTTCGTCGTCGCCTGACAGCACGGATTCGGGCCTATACCCAAACAGTACAAAGTCCAACAAGAAGTGCTTAATCACTCGTCTCAACGTCTCTGGTGTCAGCGATTTCACAAAGTCACCTGTTATCGATGCCGTGCTCGACGGCTTAGTCCTTTTTGGCAGCGACACTGTCGTGATGTTCGTCATCTTGAACAGCAGCTCGGCATCCTCATGCATTGTCTCGAACTTCCCCAAGAGCGAGTAGGGCAACAGACAGGGGTGACACTGGTGATGCATGGGTAGCCAGTGTATATTCAGGGCATCCGGGGGGTAAGAAACGTCCGGATCAAACGGGGGAGCGTCCGCCACCCATCGCGCAAACTGTTCAAAGGTCACCTGTGGGGGCAGTCCCTCTTCCGCCACCTGCTCCGTCGAGCGATTCTGCTCGTGGGCCAGTATCTGCACGGCGGTCCGGAATATAAACGGGCGGCGCCAGTTCTCGGCCTTGTACTTCTCCCGGAATGCCGATACCAGTCTTTCCAGGGGGTGACGCACGAACACAGCCGAGGTGTATGTCTCGAGACGACGGCGTGCCTCGGAGGCGGGCAACTCGGACAGAAAATGGTGCACGCGGCCTCCATGGACATTCACATCCATCATTTTCAACTCGTCCAGGGTCTTGTTTGGGGGAATTTGCCCAGACAGGGTGCCGAGGAGATGTTTCCAGCGCGTGGAGGAGATCTGAAACAGAGACACAAAAATCAGGCAGCTGATCAACGGTGGAGGGGGGGGGGGGGGTGTCATGCCAGGAGTGGGGGAACTCGGCACTCGATTATCTGAAGTCCGGGCCCGTAGCTGCTCTTCGAAAAATGGATAAATGAAACTCGTCTTTCTAGTCTGTCACAGCATATTTCAGAACGCGTGTCGCTCTTAACCCGCGCCCCGTTGGGCTCTGCCGAGCAACGCGCCCCGTTGGGGGGGGGGGGCCATTTTGGCCCCCCCCTAAGATCTCGAGAACCACGCAACGTAGCGACAAGCGGCAAACGGTGTTGGATAGCCCTATCAGGGAACTACCTTGTGACCCAATTTTATTGACCTAGGTCAAACCGATGACGTCACAGGTCAGGTCAAAGGTCCAATTTTCACCGTTTACAGGCATTTCAAGAAATGCGTTGTAAAATCGAGTAAAATGCATTTCATTGAAAATCATCGATGGGGAAATGTTCTTCAAACACATATTTTGCTAGTTGAGGTCACTGATACCAGGTCAGGTCACTGAGGTCAGGTCACTGGGGGGTCACAATATGAAAGTGTCGTGTGATACATGTTTTATGGTCCATTTTACATGACAAATGCGATTATGTGGGTCAGGCAGCCTTTGGGGCCAGCTTAGGTCACGTTTTGGTCAAGGTCAGGTCAAGGTCAGGTCAAATAAGGTCAAATTTCAAAGTTGATATTTTTGCATAAAATGGGTATCGAATCGATGCAGCTCGTCACGGGGAGTTCAATGGTGGTCTTTGTTTTGCCGTACGAGGTCTAGAATCGCTAAAAATTGAGTTGAAAAATTTGACGTCATCATTTTTGAACAGTTTTTTCGCTATAACTTGGCCAAAAAACGAGATATCGATCTGAAATTTGGTATGTATATAGAAGAGCGCAGGGACTATCACATATATTCCGGTTTTTTCGAAATTCGGAAAAATTTTTGATTTTTTTTAGTTTTTCTAAAAAAATCAATTTTTTGAAATTTTTTGGGTCAAAAACCCAAAATTTTGAAAATCCGAGATAGCAGTTTTGTAGCGCCGCTTTTTGTCTATTAGACCATATAAAGAACTTTGAAATTGCTTGATAACTGTAGATTTGGTGAGCGTTTCAAGATTGCATGTTTTTTGCTCATTTTTGCTCGAACATGACCTCAGTGTGACCTCAATAACTCCTGACCTAAGGTGACCTAAGACTTGAAATTTGGTGTGAAGGTGTCAAATTGATGCCCGGAAAGGTACTGAAAATTTGGCGGCGCTGCGCGCCGCCGTTTTCTTGCTATTCAGGAAAAACCACAGGGGGGGGCCAAAATGGCCCCCCCCCAACGGGGCGAGGGTTAAAGAACGCAGAGGAGAATATGAAAGCTGATTTAGCTAGGCAGTCCATTTCTAGCGGAGCCCTCGATCTATCTATCTATCCATCTATCTATAGCATAGATTCTGAATAATTCGCCGCCGCCGTCGTCGTGTGCGACGTAGTTAGTTACTTTGTTGCGCTTATTGCGGCGGCGGCCGTTGACCTACGGCAGTGAAATATTCAGGATATGTGGGCAGCCTTTACACGTAGCTCGTATTAAACTGTCGACTCCTTTTCGTTTTGCACGTAGCACGTGCATTAGGGGGTCACCCACATGCATCGGGAATAGCCCAATACTTGTCAGAAGGGATGCAGATAACCTATAAAAATCACCGCAAGTGAATAGGTTTAGTGATTGCTGAGATATAAGCTTCGCAGAAGCGTAGCTAAGGCCAGCGCTCATATTTACCTACTCAAAACTAAAAAAGTCAAAACTTCTGCTTTTCTACGTAAGACTTCCCTCGCTTCGCTAGCTTGTATTCAAGGCAGGTTACCTTTGGTATGGCGCAAAAGATCAGTTTGTATGTATCGTTGTAGATCAATTTTCTGCGCAGAAACCGATGATCCAGTAGGTAGTCGAGCGTGTCGGCGGGTCGGCGCGCCTCCGAGGTAGCCCTGCATGCCGACCTGAGTGCTGTCAGACGGTCCTTCAAGACCAGTTGGTCTGTCTGGACCATCTGGTGGTCTGTCGTAGCATTCCGCTGGTCCACCGTCTGAGCTGAGGGGTGTAAAGGGTGGGCTGGGTATCACAAATGAGGAGCCTCTTTAGCTGAAGCATGGGCCTGCCCTCTCAAAGAATACAAAATTGAGTGTCGCAACTCGTGAGGAAATAAGACCATATTCTTATTACATCTTTGTGGCATAGACGTTACGAATACTCGAATGAACATCAAACAAATAAACATCAATCATATTTGATAGTGAGAGACACGTACACGCAAGTCGCCAAAAATATGGCTGTTAGTGTTCAAGGGAGCTTTGACCCTTTGACAATTGACCAGCGCTATAGGTAACACGATGAAGGCAATCATAGCAACTCCGTGAAAGAAATTGATTACGGTCAGTACCATGCTAATCATCCTGTAGTGAAAGCTCTGGCCAAACTCTGGCCTGCGCCGAAAGAGGAGAGATCCAATCTCACGCGCACATGATTTCGAGCTAGGAAAAATTGATGGAGGAAAAGTGATTTTGTCACTTTTTATTTTGAATGCAAATAAAAAAGAATGAATAGCAAGAAATGCTTGACATGTTGTACGAAAAATGGCAGAAAGGTTATTTTCTACTCACGAAAATTTCTAGCATCTAGGTACCGCAAAGTGACGCTGTCATTGAATCTTAACCCTCGCCCTGGCAGGGCATTTTTCATAACACGGCTTGGTGGGGTCGATGCGACCCCCCCCCCCTCGCGATTGGCTCCTATAACACCTAGAAACACCAAATTTGATAGGTAGGTGGGCCCCCTGGAGTTCTCGCCCCTGTGCAAACTTGGTTGCTCTAGGTCAATATTTAGGGGGGTTTTGGGGGGGTATAAATGTAAAAATTTCGCCAAGAACAGGTAGAAAGTTTTTCGCTTATAACTTTTGATCTAATTAAGATAGAGCAACACGAAAAGCACCAGTGAACTCAGCACGTCAAGGCGCGTCGAATGATATACTTTTTTTTTAGCTTGCTTAACCCGCGCCCCGTTGGGCTCTGCCGAGCAACGCGCCCTGTTGGGGGGGGGGGGCATTTTGGCCCCCCAAGATCTCGAGAACCACGCAACCTAGCGACAAGCGGCAAACGGTGTTGGATAGCCCTATCAGGGAACTACCTTGTGACCCAATTTTATTGACCTAGGTCAAACCGATGACGTCACAGGTCAGGTCAAAGGTCCAATTTTCACCGTTTACAGGCATTTCAAGAAATGCGTTGTAAAATCGAGTAAAATGCATTTCATTGAAAATCGTCGATGGGGAAATGTTCTTCAAACACATATTTTGCTATTTGAGGTCACTGATACCAGGTCAGGTCACAGAGGTCAGGTCACTGGGGGGTCACAATATGAAAGTGTCGTGTGATACATGTTTTATGGTCCATTTTACATGACAAATGCGATTATGTGGGTCACGCAGCCTTTGGGGCCAGCTTAGGTCACGTTTTGGTCAAAGTCAGGTCAAGGTCAGGTCAAGGTCAGGTCAAATTAGGTCAAATTTCAAAATTAATATTTTTGCATAAAATGGGTATCGAATCGATGCAGCTCGTCACGGGGAGTTCAATGGTGGTCTTTGTTTTGCCGTACGTGGTCTAGAATCGCTAAAAATTGAGTTCAAAAATTTGCCGTCATCATTTTTGAAGTTTTTTCGCTATAACTTCGCCAAAAAAACGAGATATCGAGCTGAAATTTGGTATGTATATAGAAGAGTGCAGGGACTGTCACATATATTCCGGTTTTTTTCGAAATTCGGAAAATTTGGATTTTTTTAGTTTTTCTAAACAAATCAACTTTTTGGGGTCAAAAACCCAAAATTTTGAAAATCCGAGATATTAGTTTTGTAGCGCTGCTTTTTGTCTACTAGATCATATAAAGAACTTTGAAATTGCTTGATAACTGTAGATTTGGTGAGCGTTTCAAGATTGCATGTTTTTTGCTCATTTTTGCTCGAACATGACCTCAGTTTGACCTCAATAACTCCTAACCTAAGATGACCTAAGACTTGAAATTTGGTGTGAAGGTGTCAAATTGATGCCCGGGAAGGTACTGAAAATTTGGCGGCGCTGCGCGCCACCGTTTTCTTGCTATTCAGGAAAACCACAGGTGGGGCCAAAATGCCCCCCCCCCCAACGGGGCGAGGGTTAAGTGTACTTAAAGTTTTTCTTAAATTTTAAGTAAACTTTAATTAATTAATTAAGTTCAAGTTAGCCAAATTGCATCATATCGCATATCATTCGATTTGGCTGATCAGCAGGAACACAATGATACCATTTTTTAAGCTCTAGCGTCATTATGTGCCAATTTATTGGCAAAAACGTCATTTGACCTCAGTTGACCTCATTTGACCTGACCGATGGATAAGTACACCAAACAAAGAAGCACCAAGTGACCTGCTGTTAAGTACTGTGGTTTCAAAGCACAAAAGTGATAGAACGAAGCGGATATCTCCAGTATTTTCCGAATTTAGTATTTTCCCATAGGCTTAACATTACGACGTAATGACCTCTAACTGACCTCAGGTCAGTGACCTCAAAAACCCCGAAATATATGTTATACAACTCGGTGAACTTAGCACATCCTGAAAGTTTGAAGGAAATCAGTCCAAAACTGTGAGTTGGACAGGTGCAAAAAGAAAATTGAAATTTGACCATGACCTTGTACCGGTTTTTCTGATCTGGTGACCTAACCCAAGGTCACTCGGACCTGAAATTTTCAGGTCATATGTAAAAAGGCTGCCCCATAGGCTGTGCCAAATTTGGCGGCGCTGCGCGCCGCCGTTTTTACGCTATCTTCGAAAAGCCTTAGGGGGTTGCATCGACCCCCCCCTGCCAGGGCGAGGGTTAAAAGCCCGTAGCGTTTTTCTGGGGGGGGGGGACACCCGGTATATCACTAGCAGGAATACTCAATGTTCAACTGCAACACACTGTGGTACATACCTGGTTTTACTGAGAATCTCTCAGGTATGATGAAAAGCTTCGACGTCACAACTAACGCCACCAGTACGGCGATCTTCCACGCATGTGGCGACGGTGGCCAAAGCCTTTTCATCTGCAAATAGACTTGGGTGAACAACGTCTAACAGCATGTCTAGTGTCTACAGATATTTGGAGACTTTTTCAGACACGTTTCGTGGAGATTGTGGAGATTGCATTTGTGTATATAATTGCATGTACAATGTACATTGTACTCTACACATAAATTGCAATACAAGGAAGTTGTATGCTTAACTACAAAGTTCGACCCTCACTGTAATCATCTTTTTGAACGGGAAATATTTGTTTCAGGTCCCCAAATAGCTGTTTCTAGCACCTAATCGCTGTATAGCACCAAACAGCTTACCGGAACCTAATAACTGAAGCTGGCACTAAGATGCTGACAAGCAGCCTTATGTTGCCAGATTATTTAGTCGGATTGATTCTGAATTGTTATCAGAATTGCAATATTCAGCACCTATTTCCTTTCGCATTTACTCGGCCTATTTGATTGATGCCCTTTAATCGGATTCGTTAAACCATATCAGACAGAAGATTTGCATTAACCGCGCCCCGTAGGGGGGGGGGGCCGAAACGCCCCCCCCCCTGTCCTTTTCCGTCGATATCTCCTAAACATCGCCACCAAACTTTCAGGACCCCTCCGGGCATCAATTTTACACATTGTGACCAAACAATTTTCCAGAGGCTATGATAGGTTGGCCACAAATGACGTCAGAATGACGTCATGTTCTGTCATTTTCGACCGAAAAAAGACCTTCGCGAGAAGACCTGTCAGGCCTACAGCTTTGAAGCTACAGAAAAATGATCAAGACATAAAAGGTGTACAATTGACAGGGCTACAAAACTGTTATCTCAGATTTTTGAAAATTTTGAGTTTTGACCCCGAAAAATAAAAAAACATTTTTTTTGGATATATTTGCCAAAAAATCCAAAAGGTTTTTTGAGTTTCGTAAAAACCGGAATATATGTGATAGTACCTACCGTCTTCTATCCACATACCAAATTTCAGATCAATGCCTCGTTTTTTGGCCAAGTTATAGCGAAAAAACTGTTCAAAAATGATGACGTCAAATTTTCAAACTCAATTTTGGCAATTCTAGACATCGTAGAGCAAAACAAAGACCACCATTAGACTCCCCGTGACGAGCTGCATCGAATCGACACCCATTTTATGCAAAAATATCAACTTTGAAATTTGACCTAATTTGACCTGACCTTGACCTGACCTTCACCAAAACGTGACCTAGGCTGGCCCCAAAGGCTGCCTAACCCACATAATCGCATTTGTCATGTAAAATGGACCATAAAACATGTATCACACGACACTTTCATATTGTGACCCCCGGTGACCTGACCTCGCTGTGACCTGACCTGGTATCAGTGATCTCAGATAGCCAAGTATGTGTTTGACGAACAATGTACCATCGATGGTTTTCAATAAATTACCAATTTACTCGATTTCACAACACATTTCTTGAAATGCCTGTGAACGGTGAAAATCCGACCTTTGACCTGATCTGTGACGTCATCGGTTTGACCTAGGTCAATGAAATTGAGTCACAAGGTAGTTCCCCGGTAGGGCTATCGAACACCGTTTGAATTTTGAAAATCGGCCGGTAAATTTCCGAGATCTTAGGGGGGGGGGGGCGAAACGGCCCCTCTCCTACGGGCGGTAGGGTCCGCCGATAGCCCTACGGGGCGCGGGTTAACACGCGCACCGACGGGGGGGCGGATATCCGCCCCCCCCCCTTTGAGGTTTTTCGCGAATAGCGGGAAAACCTCATTTTTGGTACGATATGAGGTTTTCCGTCTCGTTAGGCTCAGATTCCTCCACTGAACTGCCCAAATGCCTCCTCCCCCCACCCCCTCCCGACTCTTCCTCACGCGAGAGCCGACGGCCAGGGCAGAGCGATTTCTCCGCTCCTGCACGCGCTGTCAGCCGCCGCGGGGCTCCTCCACTCCTGCAGCCAGCCCGTCCGAGCCATGCCTTGGAATGCAACTGCACTGACCTACAGGCTAGACTTCAGAAATATTATACTAGCTCGACTCGAAAGTGCTGCTATCTGCTTTCCTACAGATAGGCGCTACTTTCGGCATTTAGGTGCCACATTCAGAATAATGGGTAAAACATACTGAAGAACAGGTGTCGGAAACAGCTAAATTAGGTCATTTTGAACTATTGGTTTGTATCCAGCAGATAGGTGCTGGGAACCGGTTTTATGGCGAAACAGCGTTTTGGTGCCAGAAATAGTTTTTTTTAGGAAGCAATTAAATACGTCATTTTTTGAACATAGCCCGAAATTTGCTTAGAGAATAGCTGAGAAAATTTGTTGGTGCTCATTTGGGGGTCAGATAAATATATTCCTGCCCGGGGCCGGGATGATTCAATAAATGTCACCGAGGCTTTTTAGCGAAAACTCCGAGGGCCGTTAGGCCCGAGGTGCTTTTCGCTAAAAAAGCGAGGTGACATTTATTGAATTCCCGGCCTTAGGGCTGGAAGGTGTTTCCCATACCTGCCAAAAAGCTCACAACTATAATTGATAGTGACGTCAGCAGCCGTGTGGTTCAACGCGTTTAACCACACCCCTTGAACCACACGGCTGGCCAAGGCCATATATAGTCGGCTGGCAATATTAAAGCACTGCATTAAACTTTGAAAAGTGTGGTACAGTGCACGTGCCATTAAAATGCCTGGATGTCTCGATTTAATCATGCAATGTAGTAGGCATGGGAAATAAAAATTAAACAAGTTAATCATCTGTGAAAAGCAGTGCGCACAAGTAATTCACCTAGCAAAGCTCGTGCCGTCTTGACAGCGACGTTTACAGTGAGGGTCGACTTTACCTAAAAGAAAAATGAATTTAGGTAGGCACACTCAATATCCTCTATCTGGGCATATTCGTAAATATTAGTGCAATTAAAACCAATTATTGTGAGAAATGCGACCTCAACCACAAGGCGACTATATTGGTATATTCAGTATCGGTAAATTGCCGTCTCACCAGCTATGAAGACTTCTCATTGTGATCACAAACCAAAACAGAATGAAAGAGAATGATCATTAGAAAGATTCACCTGAGAATGAACACTTGTTACTGAACAGGTGTATCAGCTCACATACCTACCTCTGGTTCACTGCCACACTGTTCCTGCTGCACCGCTGACAGCCAGGCTTCGTAAACCGGAGACGCTCTCTCCCTCCCAGCCAACGCAGCCCGAACTGGCACGAATGATCGCTGTACCGTTAGCCTCAGCAAGTGGCCCGCGGCCACGCCGAGAGACGACAGCGCTCACTCTCGACCGACATTCGGGTGGCGCGGCGGCGGCGGCCGGCCGCTGCCGTTGATATGCACGGGGGCGGCGGTCGGAAGCTTATATCTTCGGAATTCCGATTTTGTCCAATGTCGAATTTGGAATTTGGTTGGATAATGACAGGAGGCTTTCGACAACATTGGACAATCACTTGCTACACCGCTGCATTTTTATAAAGTAATTGTGTATGCCGTATGGTATTGATTGGCGAATAGAAAGCTCAGGTTTCGATATGATAAACAATTTGGAGGTGGTAAAAGTACATTTAAAGCAAATTAAACAATATTGTTGAGTGTAAACCACTGCGCAGGCTTCGGACATCATTGGACAAATGCCTGGCTTGGACATTTTTAGACGGACAGTGGACGTCAAGTATTGGACATTGGACGGACGTGGGACATACATTTTTTAAAATTGACACCACTAGTATGCAGGGTGGCGGCGGTCGCAGCCTAGCGTCGGCGGCTGCGCTGAGTGTGCTGTGCACACATGTCACTGTGCCGGGCGGTCGGCCAGCCTCCAGCGGACATTGACACCCGCCGCCGGCACGGGTGACGTCAGCAGAGAGAGAGAGAGAGAGAGAGAGAGAGAGAGAGAGAGAGAGAGAGAGAGAGAGAGAGAGAGCGAGAGAGAGAGAGAGAGAGAGAGAGAGAGAGAGAGAGAGAGAGAGAGAGAGAGAGAGAGAGAGAGAGAGAGAGAGAGAGAGAGAGAGAGAGAGAGAGAGAGAGAGAGAGAGAGAAGCCGACGCCCGTTTCACCGCGAAATATTATGGGATATGCAATGCAAGGCTGATTGATGTCAGAATCTCCGTAACATGACATATCTCAAGTCAGACCTTTTCACAGACCTTTTCACAATATCCATTCTCAGGTCAGTGTGGGTCAGAGACCCAATATTGGTCTTTAATGGGCCCCTATGCTGGTATCTCAGGGTCTTCTAACGGCCGACGATGTGCTCAGCATATAGCTTCAAAGGCACGACACTCATTCGATCCCGGGGCCCCGGAACACATGAATTCGGATCAATCCTGGAAATATCATCGGAGCCCAGACAGGCTTTAATCAAACAGTTGAGAAAGGCGTATGTCAGAGATGATGCTGGAGTAAATCGCATCAAAGCTTGTTTGTTGGACGGGTCAAATACGCACATCTCTGGAAATATCTATGCAAGACGCTAAAGATGGGGTTTAACATGTCCAAAGTGGTCAGTGAGTGGTCATTTGGGATAAAGTATTACACCTAGTTATGTATGTAGCTTTCATTGGCTTTGGTTTGTGAGTACCGGTAGGTTTGTAATTGGTTTCCAGATTGTTTGCCATTGTGAAGCCCTGCCAAGTGCCAACATGACCTGGCCATAATTTTCCTGCCGTTTGCCAACACTGATCCGTAATTCAAAGCCGTGAAATATGCCGCGATATCACTCAGATCACGTGCAGGTGACAAGGGCCGCACGAGCGTTCACACAATTGGGGTCAGTTCACATGATCATCTGTTTACATGATTGCCGACAAGCAAGGTCTAGTGATTGGAGGTGACGGGAAACTGGGTGGGTGGGTGACGTAGAGAGAAAAAGAAGGAGAGAGAGAGAGAGAGAGAGAGAGAGAGAGAGAGAGAGAGAGAGAGAGAGAGAGAGAGAGAGAGAGAGAGAGAGAGAGAGAGAAAGGGGAGAGAGAGAGAGAGAGAGAGAGAGAGAGAGAGAGAGAGAGAGAGAGAGAGAGAGAGAGAGAGAGAGAGAGAGAGAGAGAGAGAGAAAGGGAGAGAGAGGGGACGAAGGAAGAAAAGGAGGGAGGAAGAGAAAAAGATATGTTTTAGGTATACATATGTCTAGCCATGCGGTCTGCGGAATGTGTTTTCAGCGTTCACTAATATCCATGGCTTCTTTCAACTGTTTCACATACAAAGTAGGATCTGCTTCTCATAAAAATCAGGCTAAATAGCAATGACATTGCCCTAGGGCTCTTGTCAAGGTTTAGCGACAGTGTTCGAGCAACAGTGGTTTGCCACGAAACTCTCATTGCAGAGGAAACACATCAATCTCTATTTATTCATGAACCTACTATTCTGTTAATGACAATAGGCAACATAAACAGTAATATGTAGATACCAGCGTTGGCAAATTCCTGGGTAAATGAAAATGAAATTAAAACAGTTCCTGGGACCGTCATTATACGGTGAGCTGGAATGCGTAAAGCCATTTCACGTACATAAAACATAGTTGTTTTCTGCAGCTGAACTCCAGCCAGACTGCCATATCTTTGTCCATTCTACGGCATTTCTAGTTAAATTGGGCACATGAGTGACCAATGCATTTTTCTTCTTTCGCCCACAATATACACGGGCGAACACTATGGTAGTAAATCGTTGACTCTTGACTTCTGCACCCTGAAAGTTGATACCAGTGAAGTAATTTGTAGTTAGTTATTTTTTAATGTTTTGAAGATAGTTTATTCAAATTGATTTTTCGATCAGGGTTCGAAACCTCTCATCCCGAACCCGTCTAAGAAAAAAGAAGTAACTGGAGCTCTTTTAACTCGCGTCGGGCCGGTGCTCCCGACTTCCGTTCCGGGCCGGTGGGGTGGGGGGGGGGGGGGTATGTACACCCCCCCCGTCTAACTCGGCTCCTGGGCCACGTAGCGACACATTGTAAGCGGCATTCGAAAGAGCGTCACAAATTATGACGGAAGCACTCCCGTCATTTTGGGTCATGTCAAAGGTCAGGTAGCCAGAGGTCATCAAAGGTCACATTTAGTCCAATAACTTTTGACTCAAGATTGCCACGACATTACATTTACCAGCATCGTGGTCCTTTCGTCAAGACACTTCGAATGAACTATAAGTTGAACTTGAAAGGTCATTTTGAAAATTTGACCTCAACTCAGGGTCATGACCTGACCGGAAAGGGTCATGCTGCCGCTGCATATCAGACGATTCGTATCGTCCACCTGAACACATCTGAGGTGTTTCATCGCTCTAGCATGTCTCTCAAAATTTATCGTCAAAAAAGCTGCTGGGGACCTTTCATGACCTGATACGACCTCAGGGACATAAGGAGAGGTCACGGGTGCTATTTTTCGATTCAGGTTGTCAATTTTACCTGTAACTTGATGTAAGAGAGTGTTTGGAATGGCGTTCGTCCAAAAGAGACGCTTTCCAATTTTATTTCATTGACGTATAGATATGTAGGTAATGGAGAGGTCGCAAAATTGACCTGACCTTAGGTGACCGATAACAAAATTCCGAGATAAACATTTTGGACATACTCTTACTCTTATCAATCGCTGAAAGTTTCAAGGCGATCGTTCAGTCAGTGTAGCTACGACGAAAATTCAAACTTTTTCTGAGGTGAGGACACTTGACGTGACCTGGTGACCTGACCTTGAAAGCCCTGGGCCTGAAATTTTCACAACATGTGCGGAAAAGATGCACAAACAGGGGTAAACCCCCGCCCCTGGCCCGGCACGGGTTAATGCAATTGAAACCAATAGTTGCTGGAAGGGGCGTCTAATGAGCCATTTCACTATCGCCGAATGTGTGAGCTTTACACCAATCTGCGCAAAACTACCGGAAAGCGTTGCACATACCACCACCCCATCCCCTCTAGTACTCTCGTCTATCCTTATACAATGTCACAGGTCACAGGTCACACATCTCTACCAATCATCGTCCGCTCCCCGCCCGTGTTGAAACACGCCATTGGGAGTGCATGCGACAGCAGTGATCTCAACTGGGGTGCTGCGCTGCCGGCCAACCGGCCAGCGTGGCCCGGCGCTCAGGTCACGAGGTCAAAGGGCGCGACAAGGGTGACCTTTGACCTTAACGGCAGCCTCGCCAGCTGACCGCCCGCGGTATGATGCCGCGTGCACGAGTGGCGAAACAAGTTCAGACGCGGCCGGGCCAATTTGTCTTACCTCACCTGATGTGAGTCGTCGGGGCGCGGCGTGGCGCGGCGTGGCACGTGCAGAAGGCGTGGTCGTGGGAAGGGCGCCGCCACCCGCCGGCGGAGGGCGCTCTGTGGCTCACAGAGGCCGTTCTGGCTGTCGGCTGGTGTACGGTGCGCCGTGATGTTGCCAAATGACAGAATGGGGGCGAGAGTTCACAGAGGGATACAATGAATGGGGCGAGAGTTCTCAGGGGGATACAATGGAACATGAGCGCGATGTCGATGTGTACGTGTTACCGCAGAGGAAGTGGATAATTGTGGCGTTTTTGGAGTAATCGGTGCGGTTTTGCGGTTTAATGATCGCAATGTGTAACACTGCTCGCACGCTTGTGTTTGTGGCCTTCAGCAGCTGGATCACGAGTCACGAATAGTTAGGGTGAATTAGTGGGTTATTAAGATACAGCAACCCCGTCGATTAGCCCGTGTAAGCAGTTCGATGCGTGCAATGGAAGTGGAACAGCAGCCGTTGCGCTAGATTGAAGGCTAGCCGACGAAAAAGAGACAGCTGAAAATAAAAATGGAACAGCTTTAATGCACAAGCTGTTCTTTGCCAATTATCCTGTTGAAATCGTTTGCCCTTGCAGTCCATTCAAGATTGCATCCTACTGTATCGTCAATAATCGACTTTATGCATATGGAGATCGTACATACATGCATTCAGTAGAGTGCTTTTGATGGCAAAAGGCGGATAAACTAATAAGTTGCATTGCATTCCCCTTACATCTCACTTTTTCCTTTTTTGTTACCATGTCGCATTATTTACATCTGCCTTAAAAAGGCAATGCACATTATTGAGATTTGTAATGGCGGACAAAAGAACTACAGATTCACGAACTCGCACGTTTGACGTTCATTGCGCTATTATACCACTAGGAGACTGACGGCGAATCAATACTAATGAGTCTTTTGACATCGAAATAGCTCCGCCACTCAATTCTGATCTAAAATAATCATCCGCACCTCATCTTGTGAAAATCTCACCGCCTCGGTATTCTTCTCTTCCCTAAGTCTCGTCATCTCATGTCACTGCCACGGACGACTAATTCGAGAAGTGGAGGATTCCATCTGACCTGGCACGACCCCGGTGACCCGAGCTCACCCTGTCACGGGAGTGATTTTCGAACTCCCCAAATTACCCACCGCGCGGACTGCCAATCAGACTCTGAGCGATGATGACACTCGGGGGTGGGGGTGGGTTGGGCAGGTGGTGGTGGGGGGGGGGGGGCACGCACCCACAGCGCTGGGTCACTGGGTTAGAGGGTAGCCACTGGCTGATCCAGTGGGCAGTTGGTCCCCCCGAAATCGACATTTTGATTTTTTCGAGAAAAAAAAGCAAACTAAACAGCTTTTATTAGAAAAAGTTTCTTTTAATTGCCCCTCAATGTGTAAGGAATCGTAATCCGATGAGGTTTTGGAATTAGGAGAAAGTTTTTTAGGGATATACCCCCGCGGCGTTAAGACTGCCTTTCTGAATCTGTTAGTGAGGGTAGCTGGCTTCCAGAGAAGGAGCGAAGGAGGCGACTTTCTGGGGGTAGATCTTTCCTCCTGCCCAAGAAATGAAAGCCTTTCTAAAAGAAATTATCTTGCAACCTTCGTGCTTTTCGATCCCTCCTTTGTTTGATTTTCGCACTTTGTCTTTTTCATGCTGCGTTATTCTGTTATAGAATGTGTTGTAATGGCAACGACAAATGAACATGAGCTAGTCACCGAGTCGAACCCTTCCAGAAGTCAGATATTCACCATCCTACTTTTCTCATTTCAATTCGTCCTTTCCATTATGACGAACGTTCGTCACTCGTGCAGGAAATAGTTGGTTAGACAGCATGTGGTCTAACATAACCTGTATTGTGGTATTTGATTTTACCAGTTATGCCCAAATTTCCATTTCTTTCGCCGTGCCAAACCTACTTACCACCAAAGTCTGTGAATCACGGATGACCTCTTTATGCAAGAACAATTCAATTAGACTGTCAGACTCCCACCCACAATGGCGTCACTTCCTGACGAGCCGTCCGACTATTGCACTGCAATATTTCGCATCGCCCGGCCGAGTGGTGTCACTAATCGGTGTGTAGCCGTCACTCCGAGTACCTCAGCGGCGTGACCCGTGACCCCGACCTCAGGCGGGCCGCTATAAATGGACCGGCCCGGTACACCGACGCCACCAGTCTCACTTTCGTTTGGTGCGAGCCATGTCTGCGTGTGGGCGACTGCTGGTGGCGGCGGCGGCGGTGGCGGCCGCGTCCTGTTCGCCCCAGTACGGCGCTCCGCCCGTCTCCTCCGACACTCAGAGCTATGGAGCTCCTCTGGAGAGCGCCGCCGCCGCGCAGGGCTTCGGCAGCGCTACCAACTTCCCCCAGAACAACGGAGGAGGCTTCGGTCAGGGCGGCGCCGCTGGGTTCGGAGGCAACAACGGAGGTCGGTTCGTTTCTTCTAGCGCAGGAGCAGGCCCGGCGAATTCGTTCGACGGCCAAGGCATGCCGTACAACTTCGACTGGGCCGTCCGGGAGCCCGATTACGGCAACGACTTTGACCACCAGGAGGAGTCGGACGGCGTGGTGACGTCGGGTCAGTACCGGGTCAACCTGCCCGACGGCCGCGTCCAGATTGTCACCTACACGGTGGAGGGAGACAGCGGCTTCCAGGCGACCGTCACCTACGAGGGCGAGGCCCAGTACCCGCCGGCCGGAGCCGGCCAGGCCGGCGGCGGCGGCTTCAGCCAGGGCGGGGGCGGCTTCAGCCAGGGCGGCGGCGGTTTCAACCAGGGTAACGGTGGAAGTTTTAACCAGGGTAACGGTGGGTCCTACAATCAGGGCAACGGAGGTGGTTTCAACCAGGCTCTAGGAGGTGGCTTCAGTCAGAGCGCTAGCACTGCCTTCGGTCAACAGAGTGGTAGCTACAACCAGGCCGGTGCCGGCGGTGCTTTTCAGAGCCAGGGAGCCAACAGGGGGACGGCCAGGCCCTCCACCTCTTACGGCGCCTTCTAGCACTGACCGCTACGTGGGAGAAACACGGTCTTCAGCTGTCTTTTTGCCAAAGGTTTTCTCAGTGTAGCAGTCAGACAGGGTGATGGAATGGCCAATGGCAATTCTTTCCAGTGTCTAGTGTCACTCGATGACTTCATCCGTTTCTTATGTGATTCTTGTCGTTTCTAAGATTTGTGTGTTTCAAGGTGCTATAATGCTCTGGTATAAACTAGAATATGATGTTGCAATTGATAGTAAGGAATTATAATACCGAATTTCAATTAGCTGCAGGGTATGATAAATTAAAATGCGATGATTGCTAGCTAGAGTCATAGTACAAGTACATGCATCTCAAAGTTATGTATAAACCTTCCTCTTGCCAGGTCTGAAGTCATACTGATTGCTGTGCCAGTGATGATTGTCTCTCAGTGTCTGTAACTCTTTGTGTATGCAATGTGTGTCCACATGTAGATAATTCGTTGTCAGTATTTTGACACGCATTCGTTTTGTGTGTTCATTATTCTGTGTTTTTTGTCTGAAGCATGTTATGTCCGTCCTCTATTCATAAATTTAAAGCGTTTTCCTCCTTTTCGAAGTCTGTTGTTGGGGTTTGTATTTTGTATATTTTTCAGCCACTTTATTCTTGATGATAAAGGGGGCGTTGACGAGTTAGTTTATTACAGGACTGAATGTAATTTTTTGTAGTGGCAGGATATTCAAGCGTGTATGAATGCTTTGCTGTGTTGGTACGTCTTACGTGTTTGTGTCTTTTGTTTACAAATACAAACGCTAACTGTATCAAACGAATTTGGTAAATAATTAATCATACATACTCTACAGAGTTTTTCTTCATCCAAGACTCTTGACCTGATTTAAAAGAAATCGCTACCTAGACTAGTTTGACAAAGAAAATAAAGCATGCAAACAGTGTATGCAATTTAGATGGCAATTATATTTTGGTAAGCGTGCACCGCGTTGTTTTGGGCGGATATGCAGTATGCCCTATACAGTTACAATAAGCTCCTTCGAGCTCATTAGCCGTTGTTCATGGCTAAATTAGAGTTAGTTGTAATCTTAAACACATTTCAGATAACGATGTGAACACTGCATCTTTGAATCATTAGGATTATGTAACTAAAATAACGTGAAGGCCACTTTTTAAAGGGACCCTCTCACCTTTAAAAAGTTATGAATTGTCATAAAAGTGATGTACCGTGGTTACGAAAGAGCAAACATGAATATTACCTAATTACACCATAAACATATTCAACGGTTTTTGAGACATCAAACTTTTATTTTTGTTTATTTTTGGGGGCCTCCGCTGTTCCTATGACGTCAGTTGGAAGCAATAATTTGGGATTGAATGCAAATGTCCATTATAATTTCAATGTTCTTCATTCACTAACAATGCCACCCTTCCTTTTGTACCGATCCGCTGCATTTGCGCAATTATTTTTCAAAGATAGTAAGGCTTTGTTGACGTCTCGGCGGGAAAATCATTTAAATGGCTTTTATGCAACCTTTTCTCGTTGAAATGTATGTTATGTCACATTTGACTTGTTTAAGCACTCGTTTATACATGAACGAGTGAAACAAATTCATTTATAAACGAGTGCTTAAACAAGTCGAGCGTGACATAAAATAGGCCCGGGCAGCGCTTTGCACTGTGGATCCGAAGGTTGGGACTTGAATTGTAAAAAACCGCCCGCTCGCCGCAAAACGCAAAACCGCAAAGCGCGCAAAACGCACGCTCAAAACGCCAACGCAAATGCCGCAAAAACAAAAAACAATCGCCCGCCCGCCGAAAACCACAGAAAGAAACGCAAAAAACGCCGCAAAAAACCAAAACCGCCCACATCGCACGCACGCCAACCGCCAAAAATCGCCCGTCCGCCGCAAAACGCAAACACCGCAAAAAACGCAAACACCGCCGCCGCAACAAAACGCCCGCATCGCCCGCTGCCAACCGCAAAACGCCGCAAAAACGGTCGCCCGCCGCCAAAAGCAAACACGGCAAAAACACCCGCAACGCCCGTTTGCGCAAATATTTTTCAAAGATGGTAAGGCTTTATTAAGGTCACGGCGGGAAATATCATTTAAATGGCTTTTATGCAACCTTTTCTCGTTAAAATGTATGATATGTCACATTCGACTTGTTTAGCACTCGTATATAAATGAACGAGTGAAACGAATTAATTTATAAACGAGTGCTTTAACACGTCGAGCGTGACATAAAATACATTTACACGAGCAAAAGGTAGCATAAAGTACAATTTATTGACAAGACGTTATTCTTGCCAGAACCTAGCTAAAATATGTTGCATTATAATTTTGGGAGAACCGTGTTAGACGCCCCGGGCAGGCAAGACAATTCATGCCAATATGCATGACACAATCAGCTTGTTTACGTGTATCAACCATCAGGGTAAAACAGAAAACTGTTTGATTTCTTATGCTTACATCGATATAAAGCTTTTCTCCAGAGCTCCTGCAGGTGGTGTTAAATTAAGGTTTCCACTTACCGAAAGGGTAAAATTATCCACTTGAAATTGGACTATTGAATGCACCGTGTATGCAAACGTAATCCATCAACGAGTGACGAGCCGAGTGATCTGATCGTTGAAGTCTTGCTACCTACCCGCAATGTAAGACCACAAAAGGGTTTGGAAGGGTCTTACAAAAGCTCATTCATACAGGAATGCAATGTCCTGTATTTTTCATTTTATATAAAAAGACAGTGAAATGATCAGGCTAAATGAAATGTTTGAAAGTGCTATAAAAGCTTGCAGCAGCCGGCGACAATTCCTGTTGTGGGGCGTGTCTGACGGTTCTTTCCTAATTTTGTCCAATGGGCTACATGCTATGACATTACCACATCTGCACACATCACACATCTGCAAATTGTCATTATTGGTTCTTTGCACCTGTCCTTTTGTAACGCTGGTGCGTTTCATTTTCCCTCCCCAAACCAACCCGTTCCCAAATTCATCCTTCATAACAGCAGCGCGCCGGCGACCGGACACCGCTGACCCGCCGACCATCTGGCCGACACCGGACGGCAGGACAAACACGGATCTGAGACTGCGCTGCCAAACGCCATTATCCTGCGGCCCTTACAGAGACGTCTCACCGCCGCTGACCGTGGAAGGGTCCAGCAATGGGTCCCAACCCCGGTCAAGGGGGGGGGGGACGGACGAACAAAGGCACGCAGCCTCCTACGCGCGGCGAACGGACACCGTCAGCCTGGGAAACAGGACACGACAGCGCTGCTGCGGCAGCGGGAGGCCGGGGCGCCCGGGACCAAATTGACCACCGGTATCACACTTCAAAGGCAATTTCTTCAAAACACGGCTCGAAATAGCACATTTCCAGGATGTGCCGAGACTGGCGCCGACAATCAGCATCGTGAAACTAGGACAGAGTAACAACATCCAAATTCCAGCATGGCACGGCACATCCGCATTCCCGGGCCCATCTTCCCACGCTGGTAAACCTGGCCGGAGGCTACGAGGGGCAGAAGATTCAAATTCACCTATCGGCGCCAGAATATTTGAAGGGAGGAGGAGCACCCAGAGAAGATAGCAGTCACCATGGAAACGGCACGCCGGAGGCTGCACAGCAGAAAAACGCATACGTTTCGGCCCAACATAACGTAAAATTTAATAGAAATCTCACCCTTTCGGCAACCAGGCTCAGCAGAAAATACGGAAGACTGGTTAGACGGACAGAAGACCTGGAAAATTGGCCCTTACTGGAAATTCAGAGAGCAGCAGAACTCGGAAGAAAGAGGCGGAGCGAAGACGGCAACTCTAGAGACAGCCCGAGGCAGATGGAGCTCCAGCAAAACTTTGAGGATTTTGAGGATAGAGGGTCAGTTGGAGAGTCGGAGGCGTTGGGGACGCTGACAGGCGGCAGTTCAGTTGGAGTTGGAGAGCTGGGAAGTGGAGTTCAGAGGTGGGCGATACGGTCAGTTTGTAGCGGCAGGATGGAGAAGAACAGGCGATGGAGGTAGTGAGTTCGAGCGGAGAGGAGAGTTTGAGAGGAGGAGTCGGCGGTGATAGTTCTGGAGGAGGAGGATGGAGGACTGCCTGTCACTGGAGGACTCTGCGCCGCTCCGCCGTTCTGCCGCCCGCCACCACCGCTCCGCGGGCTGCCGCCAACTCTGCCACCCGTCCGTCGTCGCTGTGCCGCCCGCCCGCCGATAAATCTGCTACCAGCCGGCCGTCAGCCCTGTCGTCCACAGCCAACAGCTAAGCGGTAGGTCGGCACTGGAGGTCATGAAGCTGCTTTCCTATCATAATCCTTCCCCAATGTGCTCCGCCTGCTGTCCCGGCTTTTCTCTCGCCCCGGGGATGTAATTTTATTTAGGCCCGTTTGGGGGGGGGGGGAGATCTGTACGTATGCGTGAGCGTGTGAACTTGTATGATTGAGCGGCCTTGCGCCTTGATCTGGAGATCAAAAATGGGAGTGGCTGGGACATGTATGTACGTATGCGTGAGCGTGTAATTGTTGAATGAGTTGACGGCATTGCTCCTTGCTGTATGGTATCAAAAGGGGCTGGTTGGGATATGTATCATTTCGTCACTTAACAGACTTAAATCTGCAATCTTGTCTAAAGCGAGGTAGGACTGGTCTTGAATGTGTGCGTGCGTGTGAGCGCCCGGGCGCATCAGAGTGACGGACCATTGGGACGAATTTTGGCCTTCATTACGCGAAAGGCGGTAGAACTTTCTTCAAAATGCTTGTGATGCTCAGCTACGTTCGTCTCGGTTACCCCAGCCGGTTGTCTAATATTCAGCTGCAGGCTCAAAGGACGGCACTTTATGTAGTAGCTATTTAGTTTAAAGTTGACATAGGTAATCTGGCACTCTGTTTTGGGGATCGGCTCAGTTCACTATGTTTTATGGCTAGTTTAAGTCTGGTTTTGCTTATCTTTGAAAACTCTGTCGTTTCACGGCTAGTTTCTCTTCCTTCGTTTTGGCTGAATATATCTTGGAAAAGTACTCACATCTGTTGGGGCTATTTGGGAGGGAAACATGAATGGATTAACTTGACGAGATGAAAGTGCTGGAGGAGAGAACGAGAGAATTCGGACTTCGGAGAGAATGGGAGGCCGAGCAGAACACCGTTTCTGACACCGTTCACACGTCGGCATGTTTTTCTTTCGGAACACAGGCACCGGTGGGAGGTCACACTACATCATACTGGGTTGTTGTTGTTGTCCTCGTGGTTGTTGTTTGATAGAGCTCTGATTCGAGACCGTCAAAGTAAACAGGCATTTGCGTCAGTAGTACTGTCAGGTTTTTTCGTAATTATGTGGCCGGATTTATTATTTAATTATTCAGCACGATTTAGTATTTATCACGAAATTTTACTATTTAGCACGATGGGATTCATTTTATTTTTGATGCAGTGCAAATCGACGTACGTTACAGTATATACTCGATCGCTTCAATGTCCGGTAAACGTTGTTTATTTCTCACTATCTGCAAATTAGCGTAACGATAAGTTTTGAGCGTTTTAGCCCCAGAAATCCATGCGTAACTTCATTCAGTATGTAGCGTAACTCAGTGCTGAACGACGAGTGTCTTCTAGGTTTCAGGGTTGGTAAATATGCGAAAGAAAACCATAAGTCATTAACGACCAACAAATTTTTCATTTCCGAAATTGTCATTTCCGACGGGTTGCGGCTGGGTTGGAATGCCCGAGCTAAAGTAAAAGCCAGTCAAATTTGATGTAAATTAATGTAAGCCCGAGATGAGCTTAGTAACTTGACGAATCAGTTGTGATTTGAATTATACTTTAGTGGCCGGCATTTTTTTTTTTTTTTGCTCCACTTTCATTTAATCGAAATGTGACCTGCATGTGAAATTTACGTGCTCTGCTTAACAGTAAACGTTACGTGGTCTGTAATTCCGGCAATCGTATCCCACAATCATCATTTAATTTCACGATTCTGATCGAGTGTAGTCAGAACTATTTTTTAAGTTGAACTTTAAAATTTGCCCCAACGCCGCTCATTATCTCCGACAATTAACGACGATATCAATGCCGTTTATGAACGATTTAAATGTCCCTGCCCGCGCCGTCCGGACCCATCAGCCGGCTGCGGCGGCCGACCCGGCTAATCCCCAGGAATGTGTGTGAAGGAGGGGGTGTCCCGCTCGTGGGGAGGGGTTACCTGGCGGCTGGTCAGACGGTGACGCCGGCGGTGGGGGGGCCGGCGCCGGTCGAGAGAAGCGGCCATCTTTGGGCACCCGGTCGGTCCCGGCCGCGCCGGTCCTGCGGCGGCTAGAGCAATTAACGCGTGCCACTGGCCTAAATAATACGCACCCGCGGGTTCACAGGGAAACTGGGATGGGGCGCTAGGTCCGACGGCGGCACACGATCACTCGACGCGGTGGCAGAGCACCGACTGAAGACGGAGCATGGATGCGACGCGTGTAAGAATGTGATCTATCGACATTCCACCTTTCCTAGTGATCGTTAATGCAGTCTCTGAGTGTCGGCCAGTCGCTCTGTCGGCTTGTTGACCTGTCAGTCTGTCGGTTTGCCGTTCACGGTCTGATGGTCTGTTGGTCTGATGGTATGTCGGTCTGTCAGTTTGACGGTCTGTCAGTACGCCGGTCTGTTGGTTGGCGACCCACTGACTCGTCCGTCCGTTCGTTCGTCAGTCTATCTATACGTTCGGCCATCTGCTTCCATCTGGCTCCCTTTCTCTGTCTGTCCGTCTGTCTGTATGTATGTCTCTCTCCCCCTTCTCTCTCTACCTCTCTCTCTCTCTCTCTCTCTCTCTCTCTCTCTCTCTCTCTCTCTCTCTCTCTCTCTCTCTCTCTCTCTATCCCTCTCTCGCACTCATAGCTACCAGCACGCGTTTCATGTCAGTCGGTAATCCGCGATTGCGTCGTCGGGTCTACTGCGTGCATGACGTCACGGAGGAGGTGCTGTCTCGGGGCGCGTGGGGAGGACGGACCCCAACCCGCAGGCGCGGCGACGCCCGGGCCGGACGCGAGTTACCTAAGTGTGGAACTACAAGTCGATTCTAGGGCTCTGATTGGTGACTTTGGTCGGGGGATGACGCTTATAGCATGACGTCACTCGCGTACTTGGCCGGACCAACGGCGCGGCGCAGGCGCGCCGAGCCAAACCAGAGGCTCTCAAACTCAATTGTACAGATCCTGCGCATTGAATGGCGAAACTTCGGCGAGTTCGCTTGAGTTTGGAAGCCCCTGCCAGAGAACTGGAGACGGCCGGATTATTTGCTGGACAGTGGGCAGCGCAGATGACGATTGACGGTGCCAAAAAGATGATAGGGAAAAAGGGGTTGAGACTTGAGCAGTGAATTATAAGCCTGTTGCATAGCTGAGTGGTAAATTGTAAAATACTTAAGGTTTGAAGAGATGCAGTGTAGTTTAGCCGACTCAGGGGCATTCTGCCGAGTTATGTAAGGCGGAAGGGTCGCAACTCGCAAGTCGTTTGTTTACATGATTGCCTGATTAAAATGTAAAGCGTACCTAATGTTAAGTTGGTAATACAGCGAGGTTGGGCATCTGCTCAATCCATTTCTTCTCTGCAATAGTGCATTCGCCACTGTAATTAATTCGGTAAGAGGCACTGGGCTGCGCCGCCTGTTAATTATTCCGAAACCACCAGTGAATTGTCACAGTCACTCACAACAATACGAATCGTTCAGTCGTGCGCTGGGGGTCCGCCAAGTTTGAGTGTGCTGCAGAATGCAGACTGGACCGCCGAGAATATAACACTTCCGTCTCCCTGGGCGAGCGGCGCATTGGAGCCGAAGGAAACTGCTTCAGTTTTTTTGTGGGGAAGATACCCATGTTTGAAAATTATGTTCTGGAATGATGCGATAAGGAAAAGGACGGTTTCTTGAATTGAGGGCTGTGGAGAAGAAGCAGATTTTCTCATTTGCTACCCGATACAACGCGAAAAGACGCAAATGTTGCACATTGGGCTTAATAAGTCTAATAAAAGATAAGGGACTTCGTGAATCATGCCTAACTGACCGCGACCCAGTTATTTGCCACTGCAGGTAGGTACTAGGTAGGTAGATACTCATTTGTAAACAGAGCGTTCCACCAACCCTCGCCAGAAATTCAATCAGCAGTTGCTTATCTTAAAACGTTTGAGTGCACCTAACAACCCTTAAAAATGACGTCCTCCCTTTCAGTGGTTCGTTCGAAGACACAAAGCCAGAATCAGCCAAGCAATATCGGAATCCATTGCGCAGTGTGTCGACTGTCGGATGTGCCCATCCACATAGCATAGCACACACTGCTAAATGCAGGTACGCTCACCTACACATTAGGTATTCGAAGGACTTGATAGCTCATACACATGGAAGAAACGCATGAAATGTGATTAATAGCTGCAGCAGAAGTTTGGCGTCCGATGCCTCTTCGCCAAGTTAAGACCATGCCAATCTCGGCCAGTCTGCCGCCGCGCCGGCACTGGCCGTGGTGTGACGTCATCCGGCCGGCTCGGCGCTGGGTAGTTCCACACTTAGGTAACTCGCGGGCCGGACGGGCTCGGCCGTGCTAATGATCAGGGGATCGGCGGGTGACCCTCGCTGCTCGCACCGCGCTGGGGTGCGGGATAACAATGGCTCAGCCGAACCCGCAGTCAGAGGTGACCTGTGGCCCACTGAGAGCGGCCATCGCTACACGGACCGCCGAGTCATTAACAATTATACCCGGATTGACACAAACATTACCGATGATTGAAATAGGGTCAGGCATCGATTACAACTTCCAATTGTTTAAGTCGGACAATGTTTTTAGACGAATGGGTTGGGTTAATGCTTTGTCAGAGTTACATGGTTTGTCAAAATTAGAACACGGTCTTTTATCGCTCTACAAAATGCTTATCGGTAAAACTCGAGGAAAGGAATTAAGATAAATCGTATCGAATTAAGAGGTACTATATTAGGAAATAATTCGGGGCTGCGAGGCCAGTCTATGCGTGTCGTACCCCCGTGTACGTTGTGTTCACCGACACGGTTGTCTACACTTACGGGTGATGGGAAACAGGGACGGGTTATTGTCTGGGTTGAACGATTGAATATGCAATTATGATTGATCGGATGGCATTCGGGCCTAAACTCACTTTAAACGTACAAATAGGATTATTGGTTAAAGCATCAGTGATACTGGGGTTTAACGTTGGCGATTTAGAGGTGCTAAATTTTAGCGATTGGTTTGTTCCGGAACGGTAGGTTAACCCTCGCCCGCACATGCCATTTTCCCATCCTAGAACGCACATGGGGGGGGTGGTTGCCACCCCCCCCCCCGCGCCATTTCGTTCCTGTTGGAGATAGAGCTTAGCGGTAAAGACCAAAAAGATTCTTTGGGAAGAGACGAATCCAATGATACCCAGTTTTACCTTCTCAGGTCAGTCATTGACATTCCAGGTCAGGTCAAACTAAAAAATGTTGCTGTTTTGGGTCACCGTTGGATATCAAGTGCGCTGCTTATCAAATACCGATGACGATGCTGTTTTCTGGTGCCAGGCCAGCTAGAACCTCTTTGTCACACTACCCGACCAGAATTTTGCGGCTGAGGTCATTTCAGGTCAAGTTAGGTCAAGGTCAATTATATGTGTTTGTATGTCTGTGTGTGTCTGTGTGTATACTGATGTGTGCACCGATTGTTTTTGGGTCCATATTACATGAAATCATGCTCTGAGAAGCTTTTACCAAAAATGCAGTCAAAAAAATTCAAAAAAAGTAAATTCAGCTTGCCTAAAACGCAATTATCTTAGATGACCTAGGTTGACCTTGACCCTGACCTTGACCCCTGCACATCACCGAACAACATGTTCCATGATAGGTGGGAGGTAAGACTGGCAAAAAAGGCCGAAATCAGGGTGTCAAAAGCTCGCAAGGCCCATGGCAATCGCAAGATGTTGAGAATTGGCCATTTGGGTCATGACATGACCTGAAAAACAAGGTCATATCTCCGAAACCAAAAATCAGAGAAACTTGAAATTTTCAGTGGACATCAAGAAAGGATAGAGGAGCAGCTATACGAAAAATCAGCCTTCTAGCGCTAAAAATGTTGAGTGCAGAGCAGAAAGACTACCTGGGGGGGGGGGTGGCAACCACCCCCCCCCCCCCATGTGCGGGCGAGGGTTAAAACGACTGGGTTATAGGGGGAACGCCATGAGGGCGCGGGGAACGCCACGAGGGCGTGGGGAACGCCATGAGGGCGCAGGGGAACGCCATGAGGGCGCGGGGAACGCCATGAGGGCGCGGGGAACGCCATGAGGGCGCAGGGAACGCCACGAGGGCGCGGGGAACGCCATGAGGGCGCGGGGGACGCCATGAGGGCGCGGGGAACGCCATGAGGGCGCAGGGAACGCCATGAGGGCGCGGGGGAAGGCTATGAGAGCGCGGGGGAACGCCATGAGGGCGCTGGGGACGCCATGAGGGCGCGGGGGACGCCAGGAGGGCGCGGGGAACCGGCTTGAGTTCCGGGGCCGACCAGGTAACATTATATACCACGCGTGCGGAACACGTGAGTGCTGCCAACCGACACTGGCCATGTCGTTGACAGCCACGTAGCCATCGTTGCGCATTGGTCATTTCGAGTAGGATCTTGTTCGACGATGTCATGGGTTTAAACTTTAACATTTAGTATGCTTACATTTAACGAGCTTCTGTACACCACTGGGGGAAGTTAGGAAAATAGGGAGGGATCAGACTGGAAATCTGACATTTTATCTGTATGCAAGGGACGTGAATGAGCGCATGGGTGAAAGATGATCGTGTGGAAGCATGAATGTGTTATATCCAGTGGGAGTTATCCGCCTCCGTGCAGTTGCCGTGATGTCAAGTGTGTTCGGAAATTACGCCTTAAAAGTATGTTTAATGGGGGGGTCCCAACCGGGTTGAGAGAGAGCCTCGGGCAGCCCAACCTGATTAAATTATCCTCTTGAATGCCCATAACCCAATGACCCATCACCGTACAGTGTAGCAGCCTATATGCCCCAGTGACTGACCAGCCTCGCAAATCACAAACAAATAAAATATCTTGCAGCCGGCCCCGCTACACTTTTTCAGCACCAACTGGTGGCTGAGATGGGAGCCATTCACGATTGCTCATCTCTCCTTATTGCATCGTTGAAACCGTCCCACGCCCCCTGACCACGGGTGTGACCGGGCGGTGCAGCCCGCCCGTATAAAGTTGTCAGTACGCCAGTCAGTCAGTGGTAGTGTCGGGATCGGTCCGGCGCCGTGTCCACCTCTGGGAGCCATGTCTGCGTGTGGGCGACTGCTGGTGGCGGCGGCGGCGGTGGCGGCCGCGTCCTGTTCGCCCCAGTACGGCGCTCCGCCCGTCTCCTCCGACACTCAGAGCTATGGAGCTCCTCTGGAGAGCGCCGCCGCCGCGCAGGGCTTCGGCAGCGCTACCAACTTCCCCCAGAACAACGGAGGAGGCTTCGGTCAGGGCGGCGCCGCTGGGTTTGGAGGCAACAAGGGAGGTCGGTTCGTTTCTTCTAGCGCAGGAGCAGGCCCGGCGAATTCGTTGGACGGCCAGGGCATGCCGTACAACTTCGACTGGGCCGTCCGGGAGCCCGATTACGGCAACAACTTTGACCATCAGGAGAAGTCGGACGGCGCGGTGACGTCGGGTCAGTACCGGGTCAACCTGCCCGACGGCCGCGTCCAGATCGTCACCTACACGGTGGAGGGAGACAGCGGCTTCCAGGCGACCGTCACCTACGAGGGCGAGGCCCAGTACCCGCCGGCCGGAGCCGGCCAGGGGGGCGGCGGTGGCTTCAGCCAGGGCGGGGGCGGCTTCAGCCAGGGCGGCGGCGGCTTCGGCCAGGGCGGAGGCGGCTTCAGCCAGGGTGCCAGCAATACCTTTGGTCAGCAGAGTGCAAACTACAACCAGCAGAGCGCTGGTAGCGGATTTCAGAGCCAGGAGAATGGAGGAGCCGGTTTGGCCTCAACGCCATCAACATCGTATGGTGCTTTTTGAGGTAACGTTTTATAATGCTTTACAGACTCCATTTAAACTGGGGTTTATTATTTGTTTTCAGTTTGTCAACCTATTTCCTATGCAGCATATTGAAGTGTCGTAGAACTGGTGAGTGATATGCTCTATGTCGCTGTGATGTTTATCACAGTATTTATTAGGTAGGGTAACAGCTTAGCAAGTGCATATGATAAATTCCTGCCACGCCTGTCTGTAAGAAAACCGAAAGTCAAATGATCCATTATTTATGCACATGAGGAAAATATAACTTATCTCAGTGTGCTTTGGCTTGCTATGCACAATGTGTAATATGAATGTCAAGAGCACGTGCTGATGTAGGTATTTATGTAACTATTCCTAATACATTTTGATGTGAAAATAAGCATGCTCTGGGAAACGTCTGGCTGGACTTTAATAAAGTAACAATTATGTCTTCCACACCCTTTCTATGCCATTCGTTTTTACCTGACGCCGCCCAATACCCACTACTCTCTGAATTGGCGCCACCCTGCCCCCCGTTCTCTGTGACCTGACGCCGGCCCTGCTCCCCCGTCCTCTGTGACCTGACGCCGCCCCTGCCACCCCGTCCTCTGTGACCTGACGCCGCCCCTGCCACCCCGTTCTCTGTGACCTGACGCCGCCCCTGCTGCGCTCCGAGCCGTGCCCTGAGGCTGTGTCGGGTCGGACCGGCCGGCAGTGGCCGCTGGAGAGGCGAGTGGAGCGGGTGTCTGGTGGCCGGGCCGGCGGTGGGTGGCTGGGACAGTGGAGTCGGAGCGTGTGCTGGTCGGTGACGCTGGTGGATCACGGGAGACGGTGAGGGACGCTGGTGGATCACGGGAGACGGTAGGGACGCTGGTGGATAACGGGAGACGGTGAGGGACGCTGGCGGATAACGGGAGACGGTGAGGGACGCTGGTGGATAACGGGAGACTGTGAGGGACGCTGGTGGATCACGGACATTAGATACGACGACATTAGATTATGTATAGCGCTTCCTGCCTTTGATAAACTGACTTATGAGAAATTCTATTCGCAAATGCATTGGATGCTATAGCATTTTGAAATATTACCGGTATATCGCTTACGTCCATCTGTGTCCTGTCTTGCTTCTGTGATGTTCGTTGCGGCGTTCCCGTTGCTCGTCTCATGTTCAGTTACTGACAGTCGTGCCTTCTTCTTCCAGGACTTAACTGGCGTCGTCCCAGCGGTAGTGGACGGGGCAGCCGCCATCACCACCGCCGTTCTGACTGTACCAGAACAACAGCGGCGGACCGAGACAGCAGAGCGGCACCGTGCGGCCACTTCGGAACGGGGTGTAATATGTAATGTAATGTATTTAATGAGACAATCCTCGATGTACTCGGGGCTGTTACAGTCTCAGTTATGTAGTACAAAGCATGCAACATATGTACACAGCATTTCCTGCCCTATTATAAACCACGCCTAGGTTGCTGTAAAAAAATAGCACATCTTATACACACACGAGACGAATCATCCACATTTAACAACAATCGCTCGATAGTCATTGCTCTAATAGTTCGGACATCGGACCACGTCACTCTTGCCCAGTCACGGTGCGACTGTCACATAGGTGGCTTACTAAGTGACTCCGGAAAGCTGGCGTCGAGCGTAACGTCAGATCATGTGGCAGCGCATTATACTGGCGAGGTGCACGACAGCAGAAACGCCTTCGTCCCATCTCTGTATGTGACATTGGTACGTACAATGTGTTGTTTTGTCTAGTACTGCGGTCACGGGTCTCTGAGCTTTTAATGAGATTTTCAGCCAGTGCTTCAGGTTCGCCTGCGCGACGTACTCTATGAACCATGCACATAGTGTGGTACTGGACGAGCTCATTAGCTTTCAACCAACCCAAACGTTGAAGCAGATCGGACACATGGTCAAATTTCTTGCGACGGAAAATGACTTTGGCGGCATAATTGATCACTTTCTGAATCCGAAGAAGATTTTTGTTTGTGGTATTACCATAAACGGATAAACAGTAGCGGATATGAGATAAAACTAAGGCATCCACTAGAATAGAAATGGTAGATGGCGGTAAATGGCCCCTCAGTTGCGACAATCCGGTAAGAATTCCGAAACAACGGTGCACAACAACAGAAACATGAGTGTCCCAGCTAAGGGCACAGTCAAAATGAACTCCAAGATTCCTCGCTTCGGAAACAGGAGTCAAATTACAATTATTAAATTTTACAACATAGCTGGAAATGTTTCGCAAATTCTGTGGGCTACCTAACAACATTAATTGAGTTTTCTCAGAATTAAGTTTGAGCCCGTTAGCTCGGAACCATGACCCCAGAGATTCCAACACTTGTTCCAGCCTGGTGAGAGGGACTGGGTCTGCACATTTTTAAATGTTGTTAGAATACCGATAGTAATCCAAAATGTCATGTGATAAGGAAAGCTGCCCTCCGGTCGTAGGTATATTTCAATTTAAGCGGGCAACTATAATGCTTTGCTTTTATCTGCCACTCTGTATCTATCCATTTGGTTCCGGTCATCGATATACATAGGTGTGTGCTGTGGCCTGTGTACTGTGTAATGTGTATCCACCAGTTGGTGTGGGATGATATTATGACTATCAATCTCAATTGCCTCTGAGCTCTCCTCTCCACAGCGACACCCCTCAAGACATGTCATAGTTCATCCAATCATTAGCTCAATAACCGTGACATTGGGCCATATTCAGTGTCATTTTCCCCCTGTAACCACTCTATCTCCCTCCTCTCTTCTCCAACAGTGTTCGAGTGACCAGACTCTGTCCCCTGTCTGCCCGGTCTCCGACACACCGGGCCTTTGGACTACAGCACTACACTATAACTTTTCGGCAGAAGCTGACAGACACGAGAATGGGAAATCAACAAGCTTCTGGGAACACAATGATAGCTAAAGGTGGATACGTATTTCCAAAGAATGTTTGAGCTGTTATTCAGTATATCTTAACCAGGGATGCGGAGCCGTGGAAATTTCAGACGGCTCCGGCTCCGGCTCCGGCTCCGGAGAAAAAAATCGGCTCCGGCTCCGGCTCCGGCTCCGGGTGAAATGTTATGGCGGCTCCGGCTCCGGCTCCGGCTCCGAGTAAAATGGTCCGGCTCCGGCGGCTCCGGCGGCTCCGGCTCCGGCGGCTCCGGCTCCGACTCAGTACATCCCCTATGCAATCAATTAAATACGGATGGAAGAAAAAATGGATTGGTTATACGCGTTACTCTTTGCCATGACCGGCTCATGACCGCGTCCCCGCGCAAACGCACCTCGGAGAGAACTGGCACAACAAGGGACTAGGAAGCGATGGCATTGGAAACGCAGTCGCCGCGAATCGGAGTTCACTGAACCATCGTAAGCTGACACCCGTCTCGGCACGGACGGTGCTGGGAGTCGCAGTCCACTGCACTGGCTTGAAAACAATGGCCGTCACCTGATGACCGGTCCTCATGTTCTGGGGATGCAGTAGACGTGGGGGGGGGGGGGGAGGAGCAGACAGGAAGTTGATTGCGTACTGTGGGATACTGGGGATATTCGGCTTTTTTCATTCACTTGATGGCACATGACGTAAGTACATACCATATGTTTCACTGCCTTGTACTGTCAAACCGAACTAGGTCAATTATTTTTTTTCCTCTTCAAAAAATAAAAAGGAGCCGGAGTCGCCCCCTTTTTTGGCGGCTCCGGCTCCGGCTCCGGCTCCGGTCTATATTGTTTCACGGCTCCGGCTCCGGCTCCGGCTCCGGGCAAAATATGCCGGCTCCGGCGGCTCCGGCTCCGACTCCGGCTCCGGCTCCGCATCCCTGATCTTAACATAAGACCTCTCGTCATCCCCAACCTTTCATATTTTACTCTTTTACAGTGTTTAGCGTTTCATTTTCACCTCGTCTGCCTAACTCAATTCGCTCTTTTCATTCGTTTTCATTCATTTTCGTTTGTGTTTTAGTTGTCGCCAAGGTCTCTGCCCCATCGCCAGCGCGACTTATTCGTATGAATTATGATCGCTTACGGCTATTATATGACTCGAAGCCATCCCTTGGTAATTGGCATCACTTTGTGCCTCTTGCACCTTTGTGACTTTCTATCGTGATATACGTGACCGTCTATTATTTGACGTGGTATAGTATATGTGTGACAGTCTATTTGTCGTGGCATACATGTGATCGCCGAATTGCCGACTGCCGACATTTTGTGCTGAAAGTGTCTTTTATTGACTGCTGTTGGTGAAGATAACCTCCGTCGTTCCGTGGCTAATCTCAATGTAGAAGTTGTTTGTACCGGCACTTCTCTCTCCCTCCCCCTTCCTCCCTCTTCCCCACCACATGACTCCTTACTTGACTCTTCATATCTCTTCTCATCAGGTTCATATGAATGGAGACCGTCCCTCGGGTGACCGTCCGATACTGAAAGCGACTCCCCATCATTTAGCACCAGCCTGACCACTGGAGGAGCTCCTGTCCTGCTGGCACCGCCGGCGGTCGCCGTGCTGCCAACGCGGAGCGTGACGTGAGTATGTCTTGTCGGCTGTGCCGGGGATCTTCAGCTTCATATCACACTGATCGCTGTTTCTGTCGTCAGAATAGCTTCGTTGCCGAATATCCTGGTATAGTTGAACCTATCCTTATCATAGCATGGCAACCATCGTATAGTCACGCTTCACTATTGGGGCTTATCGATGATTTGATTTAGAGTAATGGAATAGAAATAGAAATACCACGTATTCTGAGAGTCTTTCTTAGCCCACGCCCCGCTGGGCTATTCAATTCAATGCATCGTGCTGGGGGAGGGTGGGGGGAGGCGGCAGGCAAACTCCCTAATCCTCAACTCTCGAGTCGGTACATTGTATGACTTATCGGCGACCGTATGAATAAATTGACGACCACTGGTCCCTGTGTTTGCCCGCAGGCGGAGGTGGCGCGCCTTCTGGTACAGTCCGGGGCGCGGATTGACCTACAAAACGAGGCGGAGCGCCCGCCGCTGCAGATGGCGCCACCGGGGCTGGCCAGCGACCTCCAGCAGCTGGCGCCGCCCTCGGTGGAGCTCACCGCTGGCACAGATGGCAGCACCGTCGACCCCCGACGCCAGTGCATCTCGAACCGCAAGACCGCTGTCTATCTCGTCCCGTCAGTGCAGTTCGCAGCGCCATCTGTGAAACTCCGTTGGTATAGATGGCACCACCGTCGACTGGGTACCGGCGCCAGCGTATCTCGAGTTGACCGATCGTGCTCTCTGAATCTGAGGCATACTGGCATAGCCCACCTAGTGGGCAGTGTCGAGATACCACGAGGGTGTAGGAGCATCCGTGGATGTAATCGCGCTTGTATTTTGTTGTGATGTCCACTCACAAACACTGTCATGGCGGAAACTCTGGCGTATCGATATTGGTACTTCCATCTCGAGATCGTTGATGAACCGCTTACCCATGGCAGGGTCGGTTGTCTCAACCGGTGTATGCATAGAAATGGTGTATGTGTGCTGCATTTCGTAGGTAGGACTCGTGTGCTGGCTGGATAACCGTGCCTCGTCGGCTGTGCAAGCTGAAGTGTTTATTATCTGCTGGTTTATGTGTCTTGAGTCTCCATCTAAGGCGCGTGGTCGGACGGTGACCTTTCTCGACTGTCGGCTGACATGTGTGGATACCGCATCTTCTTTCGTCTTTCGTGTTTCCGCTGTTATCGTCGAGTCTTGCTCTGCGTGAACGCTGAGTCAATAGCGTCGTGTTAATGCGATGTGCGTCGTCGTTCGTTGTTTTGCTTTCGATCACTGGTAGTCACGGAACATGAGGTTCTTTGTGACTCGGACCCGTGTGTTCCTGATGTTTTCCATGTGTGCATGCCACCGATCAATGTTAGGCGTTGGCAAACCGATAGTGAATCTGAATATCGTGAAGTAAGCCTCTTTATGGGACTGATTTCATGTGTAGGTGTTCATCTGCTCATCCCTTCCCTTGGACTTGCGAGCTGGCATTTGGTACGTATATTGTTTAGTGTTATGGTGAATAAAGCGCAGAAAACTATGGGATGTGTGTTCTGATGTGGGTTCGATCCGACATGCAGAGGAGAAAGAGGGAAAACGCCGACACAAGGATAGAATATCTCGAGTGGCTAAAGACGAGTGTTTAGACCCGCAAAACTGAGAAAAACGAGGCTGATACACACTAAACTCACTAAATCTACAGATGTTCCAGCGGCGATAAGGCTCTTCCACATGTCAGGATGGAGTCCCAGCGGTCGGTAAGGCATTTGCCGTGAAAGAAAGTGGGCGGAGCCTAAACGGCCCTCAAACTGAGATCGGGATAGTGCACTTTCAGGTGCCCCAACGGGTTTACCCTGGTGGCCGAGTGGTTAGCGTGACGTCAGCATGCATTTTAGACTTTCGAAGGTTTTGGGTTCGAGACCCGGAATCGCCCCTGATTACGGTAAATTTTTCCTTCCTAAACGGGCCTCGAACCCAAAACCTTCGAAAGTGTAAAATGCACGCTGACGTCACGCTATCCACTCGGCCACCAGGGTAAACCCGTTGAGGCACCTAGAAGTGCATTATGCCGATCTCAGTTTGAGGGGCATTTAAGCCCCGCCCACTTCTCTCTGTCGTCAGCCCAGCCCGTGTGACGTCATTTCCACTACTGCTGTCGACTGTTTGGCTCTGTGCGCGGGTCTCTCAGTCTCCCGAACCGTCTGACCATCGCTGAAAGGAGTTCCCACGCGACTTCCAGGACACTACCGCTCAAAGACACGTCATTGGAGCCATACTTGGGATTGTATTGAGATGTTTACCGACAAACACGCAATGAACATAAGTTTTCTTCCACGAGGGGAAGACAACAACTTCAGAGGAAAGTCGACCAGCCACATAACTGGGGGGGGGGGGGGGCGGTATTGGCGTGCCGTAGGCCACGCCCGAATGATGAGTGCCGACTCGCCGGGTGGCGGACGGGTCGGCGCCGGCGGCAGTCGGCCCCTGGCAGCTAGACCGGCCCGCCGAGCCGATTGACCCCGGCGATGACCTCTGATGGCCGCGGGCGGTGACAGCCGTCGATCTGGACCGTCTGGGAGCGAGTGGAGATTGGCACGGGGTTGGGCACGCTAGGGGAGGGGGAGGGACAAGAAAGGGAGGGAGAGTGCCACGGACTGACGAAATAACAACAGTAGAGGGGCTGGGCCGGGGGAGGGGCTGTGATGTTGTACAGGGGACGGAGCGTGCCAGGCGCGAGGGGAGTCTCGAAGGAAGTGGAGAGGCAACATCATGACAACACTCGTGGAACGTGCTTGCAAACATGATGAAATAAAAGTGCAATCTCCCTCTCTCTGACTTTCGCACTGCACTGCACACGTCATTTAGCTCTGTCGCTACTCGCTGTTGCACTCGCTATCCCGATAAGAACATTCACTGCTCACAATTCACATTTCCAAACTCAAGTAATAAATGACGGCCACGGGCCACTGCCACCGGCCTATGCATTATGCAGTACCTATGCATTGTGCAAGTCAATTTATATAAATGCGCAAATTACACAAAGCTGGAAAATGTCAACGCATCTGTCACTGTCACCGTCACTATCACTGGTACTGTCACCGCTCGCACTGCCGCAAAAATTCAACTTCGCAACCTACAATTTATCACACATATTGCCAGCTATCGCCTGGAAACGCTTCATTAGCTGCGAATAACCCGGTGACAATCGGCTGATTAGACAGGCAGAGACACCTAGCGGCGTTATCTGAACCTCAAGTTCAAGCAAACAGCGCCACCTATGCTCTGAACAGCAGAGCCCGATTTCCACTAGCTGCCCATAACACAGACCACGACCCGGGCGGTATGCAACTAGTGACATCTAGCGGTGACGTAGGTCCCTATGGCTTGCTGCCTGTGTTATGTGCAGCTAGTGGATTCGGGGTTCGGAATTTCTGGTCCTAGGTGGCGCTACTAATCGCAACTTGAGGTTTTACAAACCACCGCTAGGTGGCAGGGCTATCCTATTTTGATGCATTTGACGTCGCAACAGCACTGATAACTGAAATTCGGGCTTTGTGCTTAGAAGTGGTTGACATTAGAGTTGCAAAATTTCACTACCGCACTACCGGCATGCCGGTAATTTTTCACTACCGCAGGTTTATTCGTGGTAACTGGCATGTCTTGCCGGTAGCATGCCGGTATTTTTTATTTTGTGCAAAAAAAATATCAGCAAATGATTCAAACTTTGGACACTAAGAGGCTCTCAAATTGTAGTAACAGCAATATTAGCCACTGCAAGATACATTTTGTGGTAGAAGTTCCATTGCTAAGTGTAGGGGTAACACATGGGCCTCAGCATTTCATACAATTCACAGGCTTGGTTATAATTAGAATTGTCAAGAATCTACTGTGGTCTATAAAAGGAAGAATACTCATTCATGTTGCAAAAGCACGATAAACTAGTAAGTCTAATGGTAGATAATACGTATAGCACAATAAAATAAATCAATGTTCATGACAACATTCCCTAGGGGAAAAGGCAGAATCAAAACACCAAAAAACACAATGTTTGGAAACTGGCCTTGAGTCCTGAGATCATGAGATGTGGTCTGAGAAACTCTACAAAGAATTTGACACTGAAAATCCAGCTGAAAAGGCAGGTGTTAGGTAGCCCTGAGTCTGACTTTGGTCCCATTATTAAATGAAAATGGATTTAAACTGGCATTTTTTCTTATCTTTACAAGAAAACACATCATGCAGGCAAAATTGACAAAAAGTGGCGCAAATAATTAGACAACCAAGGATTTACTTTTAAGATTCTCTCTCCCCTAATGAATGGATGTAATCTGATGACGTAATATTTATTCATATACCCTTTTGGTTGAATAACTGAAGAGAGATGAATTTCTTTGCAGTGAATTACACTACAATGTTGATTTCATTATAATTTAATATTGTGTTGGGTAATTTTTATCAATATAATCATTCACGAAGCAGTGGCTTGCAGTCGTTAAACATTTTTTTTTTTTGCAGCGTTTTAATCAGCTGGTTAAAAGCCTCTATTATGGCGCATCTGTTTCGAAATCGATAACCTTGTGTTTGTTCCCGCTTGAGGTTGGAGAGGATGGAAGATATCGTTTTTATACATATTATTTGGTGACTATTCTCAGGACCAGTGAGTTATTAACACATTTTTTACATGATTCGTATCTTATTCACGAACCAGCAAGCCATAGTGGATAGGAAAAAGCAGATGTTGATCTCGCTTCCTCAGTTAGGAGGATGGCCTAATCTGTACTTGTTAATCTATGTTTTGACCATCTATATTTTAAACATTTGGCTGGTGCCTGCAACATGTTAGGAGAATATGGAAAAGTAGAACAACTGTGAAATGTAAATGTGATTACTGCTCACTGTCCAGTCTTCAAAAACACATTTCAGTAATTCAAGTGCTTTTTGTCCTCACCTTTTTGATGAATGTAATAGTTTTTTTTTTGTAGGCAATACTTCTTTGATTACAGGTGATATTTTAACAGTTATAGACTGGAATTGAGTTTCAAAATTGTGGGTATTTGTGGGGCCAACTCAGCCAAAATCAGCCTGCTGGTATTTGTGGTTGGACAATGGATGGCTGTTGGGTGGGAGGGGTACTGAAACTGCCAAAATGTGGCATCTCTTGCAGGGGTAAGCTAGAATCAAGAATGCAGGTTTTTTTAGTATGCCGGTAATTTGGCGGTTTTTTTGCTTGGGGCGTGGTAGCATGCCGGTATCCCAGAAAATTTTTGTGGGGCGGGGCGGTGCCGGTAGCAGCCTTTTGGGAAAACTTTGCAACTCTAGTTGACATGCGACCTTTCTCCTTTTCCTAGCATAAGCACAACCACTGAGTTACCTAATTATTACGTTACTGCCTGGTATAACTTGTGGTTTTACAAATAGAAATCTTATGTCACAGTCAATGTGGGATTTCGGTTTCTTATCGCGTGCTTTCTTTTCCAGAAACGAGAATAATCAACAACCGGTAGTCGAAAAGCAAACATTGCATTTCGGATTTGCAATAAAAGTGGTCACCAGCAGACACAGTTGATTGCCATTCGTCAATCAGAATCTAGCGAGGTGCTCGTTCAATCTTCGTTTCAGTATCAATCTTCAGAATTCGTACACACTAGCGTCATCTATATTACTCAGCTCATGTGATTATAAACATCATCGCTAGATGGCAGTAAGATGACCTCACGGAGGTAATTTATCAGACAGAACTGCGACTAGGTTCGACTTTAGTCAGACTTGCGACTGAGCCAAATTAACCCGAGGCCTGACTTAGGGATAATGAGCGTATTTATTAATTATGATCAGTGTCCTAAAACCGATGAGTAACCTAAACCTTTATCAGAGCATCGCACTAAGCACTTCCTTTCACATTTCTCGAATTTCGCGATAATCCTTTGGCAATGTTACCAATCTCGTCTTTCATGTTCCTCGCTATATACCTTTCCGCATTTATCTCACTCCGCTTTTCCATCAAATGGCTAATGGCAGTCAAACTACTGTTCCGGGGTTCTGAGACTGGAACGTTTCACTGTTGTCTACGTTTCAGACTCTTTCACTCCCTCACTGTTCACGACTCCCTTATATCATCCCGTTCCACTCTCTGCAACTGTCCCATCACTTCAGACATTCACATTCTTCCCGAGCACTACTCCAGCCCTCACTGCTCTCCCAGTGATTATCTCGCTCTTTTATCCCACTTTGTCCTCTCGCTTCCTCTCTCACTCTTCCCAGCCGACAGTCCTTAGTCCATCTTCAAGCCATTGACGGGTCCGTATCAAAGCGTCCAAAACCGCAGCACCCAAAGTACGCAACATCCAAAACCGCAGCGTCCAAAGCACGCAACGTCCAAATACGTCCAAAATCGGGTTTATAGGGGGCATTCACAAAGTCCAAAACCGAAACATCCAAAACCGCAACGTCCAAAAACGTATCATCCAAAAAAACGCAACATCCAGAGACGCAACATCCAAAGTACGTAACCTCCAAAACCACAACGTCCAGGACCACGACATCCAAGGCAAACAACATCCAAAACCAACCTAACCTAACCTAACCTAACCGAACCTAACCTATCCTACTGATTTTTGCCTATCCCTAACCTAACCTAACCTAACCTAACCTACTGATTTTTGCCTACCGGGGATAAGGAAACCCAACCTAACCTAACCTAACCTAACCTAACCTAACCTACTGATTTATGCCTACCGGGGATAAGGAAACCTAACCTAACCTAACCTAGCCTAACCTAACCTAACGGTTTTAGATGTTGCGTGCTTTGGATGTTGCGTACTTTGGATGTTGCGTACTTTGGATGATGCGTCCTTGGATGTTGCGTTTTTGGATGTTGCGGTTTTGGATGTTTCGGTTTTTGACGTTGTGAATGCTCCCTATATACCCGATTTTGGACGTATTTTGGACGTTGCGTACTTTGGACGCTGCGGTTTTGGATGTTGCGTACTTTGGATGCTGCGGTTTTGGACGCTTTGATGGTCCCCCAACCTAACCTAACCTAACCTAACCTACTGATTTATGCCTACCGGGGATAAAGAAACCTAAGCTAACCTAACCTAGCCTAACCTAACCTAACCTCACGGTTTTGGATGTCGCGTACTTTGGATGCTGCGTACTTTGGATGTTGCGTACTTTGGATGTTGCGTACTTTGGATGCTGCGTACTTTGGATGATGCGTCCTTGGATGCTGCGTTTTTGGATGATACGTTTTGGATGTTTCGGTTTTGGACGTTGTGAATGCTCCCTATATACCCGATTTTGGACGTATTTTGGACGTTGCGTACTCTGGACACTGCGGTTTTGGATGTTGCGTACTTTGGATGCTGCGGTTTTGGACGCTTTGATGGTCCCCCGCCATTGACTCTTCGGCCCTTCTGTTCTGACCTCCCCCCCCCCCCCCCCCCCAAGGGCACCACCGCCGTACTCTTCCGTCTCATCTGCGCTATCTGTAACTACTCAGTCATGAGACGTAGCCACTTAACAAAGTTAATAACAATTCAATTTGAATCTCTCCTTTCACTTTATCAATCTTGCTCGGAACCGCAGACTAGCCTGGCTTCACTATTAGGCAGAACCCATGCACTGGCGACATATATATTTCTCAGTTTGCGTGACTATAGCAACCGCCGCTAGATGGCAGACAATCCCCTAGAACGACCAATTCCCTGCTGATGGAAACAAATATGCACATTTGATGTTCAAATGGGAGAGACCGAATTATCTCTTATGTTCTAACAGTGTTCCCATCTCCGCCTCAGTCTCGATCAGTCCACTTATGCCTCCCCTCCCGCCCACTATTGCGTAAAAACTGAACTTCCCAGGCGAGCCTCTGAGGCGTAAGTCCTAATCAATCTCGTCCTGCACCTTCCTCTTCCATTCCCCTCCTATCTTCTTGCAATGGCTATTCTTCACGCCAATCCTGAGCAACACACCCTCCCCTTCATTTGTGTCACCTCTCCCTCCTTCGCCACTCCACAGACCACAAACATCTCCGTGTGTACTTTAAGACACGTGTATTCCTCGCGGCGCGGACACAGGTCGTCACGTGGCAGACCGGGCGGCGGTCGACCCCGAGCTATACACACACGCTGACGGATGGGGGCGCGCGGCGGAATGGAGCCGCGGCGCGCGGCGGTGGCCCGCCGGTGACCTGACCCGGCGCCGGTCACTGCGGGCACACCGGCGGCGGCGGATGGCGCGGCGAGCCTGCCAGAGGGAGGGAGGGACGGGTGTAAGTCGAGTGGTCGGTAGCGCTCCAGACGCCGGGCGGGGTGGTCGAACGGTTGTGGTGGAGCGGTCAGGGTTACGGTAAAAAAAAACTGACAGACCAATGAAAAATGAGTATTGCATGGCTCTTCAGATAACAGCAGCGAAGAAAAAAAGGGCAAAAAAATCCCAGCACGCACTGACCCGATAGTTAACCAAAAGAGACCAAAGATTTACCAAAAGAAGTACTGTAAGCCTTACTAAACCTGAACATTACATCGGTCAATTAAATTTCGACTAGAGTATTATTACGCCCCGAAGTAGTTCTCCCTTCTCCGCCGAGTCGCCATTCTGCGTGCGGAACTCACCTAGATGAGCAGATGCGAGCACGGACACTGAAGGACACAGGGTGGGTGACGGCGGCCTGACTAGTAGGGCTGGTGCCTCGAGCTGCCGCCGCTGCTGCCGCCGCGGCCGCCACGCTGCTTGCCGCCGCTGTAGCCCTGGCCGCCGTCGTAGCCGCCGCCGTACCCGCCGCCGTAGCCACCGTCGTATCCGCCGTAGCCCCCGTAGCCGTCGTATCCGCCATAGCCTCCATAGCCGCCGTAACCTGTGGGGGTGCGGAGCGGTTAGTATTGTGCCGTTGTCACTGATGTAGGTAGAAAGGCTGGGTAGCCTGCAGGGGTGCGGAGCGGTTAGTATGTGCCCTAGTCGCTGATGTAGGTAGGAGAGTTGGGTTCCGAGAAGTCCATCAAGTCACAAAGCTCATTGATATGCAGACAGAGACGGTAAGTTATTCACAGTGCAGCCCATGACTAATGAGATGAGTACTTTGCGTGATTCACGGCCAATAATAGTCATCTGCAGTCATTTGTCGCTCAATACTAAAATGGACAAAAATTAGCCAGATTGCTGTAGAAAACAAATGTCAGCTGCACGAACGGTTTGTTCCAAGTTTTTACTCTTTTTACTTTGAAACTCGAAAAACAGCAACATGAAAAAACGCAAAACACTCGAAACATACACGGACAAGCCATTCACGAAGACAGAATCGGTTATTACCTGGCTTGGATGGGACTGTCAGCATCCCGGCAACGCATTTCCAACAAATTTGACATGACAAAATATATTTATCAAAACTGGGGATTAATCTAACACAACACACGCACACGACTAAGCTTCTGCCATCTGCACAATGAACAACAACAAAACAAGTCGCGTTCTTCCCGTTTCTGTGTGTTAATCAAGACAAACTACTTCAACGCTTCGGTACAAAACGCTCCGAAAACTAAGATCAGATACGCGAACCTAAGTCAGCTTTCCGTTGTGTGACACCCGGTACAATCTCACGCACACAAACACACAGGGGGCAGAATTAAACTGGCGACAAATTGTCGGTAGTTTGTACCAGAGACGCCTGGGACGGACAGCCGCCCGGCCGGCGGGACGTTCTACACTTAGCCCTCTCCTCCCGCCCCACAAGACGCTGGGGAGGCGCTCTGTTCAGTTACGGCAGCGAGGCCACACAGAGTCCAGAACCCCCACTGTCTGGTCTAACCTACATCTCTCAGTCCACAGACCCAACCCGCGCCCACCTTCTTTTAGTCCCCACCCACTCGCGGGTCCCCCACATCTTGACCCCCCCCCCCCAGCGCCTCTCTCGCTCGTTCACTGTCGCCAGGGTCCGTCTGGGGCGCGCGCTGGCGCCCGGTACCCGTCATGGCGGCCCGCTCCGTGGCTGGCGGCGGCGTACTGCGGCGGCGGCACTGCCGGGCAGAGAAACGCGCGCCTCAGCAGCCGCCGCCACCGCGCCAGCGGGCCCACACAGCCGGGCAGCCGGGCGGCCACACAGTGGCACGGAGAGAACGCCGGGGTGGAATTTGGAACAGAAAAATAGCTGAGAAGGGCCCGGAGAACTAAGATTTTCATTGAAACAAAGCTTACAGCTCCTTGGAACGTGTTCAACTCCGGGATTTAATGTTTGCATGCTGAAAACGAATTACTGAATTTTGACTGCAATTTTTGGATTTGGAACTTCAGATCCCCCCCCCCCCCCCCCACACACACACACACACACCACCAAAACAATCACATGCCACAGTTACCCCTCAAAGCTCAGACGATGCAATATCTATTCACACACATACACCCTCCACCCCCCACACACCCCGCCCCGTTCCGTTCGCCCAGCTGACTGACCTCCGTAGCCGTCGTATCCTCCTCCATATCCCCCGCCATATCCGCCTCCGTATCCGCCTCCGTAGCCGCCACCCCAGCCGCCACCCCAGCCTCCGCGGCCGCCGCGGCCTACCGAACACACGGAGCCCAGTTACCGGTACAGAAAGGCAACGGCTTTGAATGGTTGTACGGAGAGTATGGCGGATGGCGCAGAGTATCTGACTTGTTGATGACGTTGCGTTACATTGAACAGTTAACAGTAAAGAGAAATGTGTAGACGATCAAGTAACAATGAAACTGGCACACGGTCAATCAGTACGTTAGTCGGCACGCACAATGGCAAATAGCAACGGTCTAGGCTACTGAGTGGTAAAGTTATGATGCCGCGAAATCCAGCTATCGGACAGCAAGATTCATGCAAGAACTATATTAATTACCCTAGCAACAAAACCTAGTCCAAACTTACCAACCTATTTCCAAGTTGTTTTCACCTCAATTACCCCCCCCCCCCAAACAACCTATTCCTAATCCCTACCTACAAACTGACACCAGACCACATTTGAGCACACTAGACAAGCTAGTTGAGGGATCCAGTGCTACGAGTTGGACACCATCCTAAATTCCATTTCACAGTCGTAACAGAGGTAGCTCTACACAGATGGAAAGGAAAGACTGGACAAACTTTTGACATAACGAACCATGCTTGAATAGAGCTACAAGACAAACTAGTTGTGGAAAGACCTCACGTCGTCAAAGATCCACTAAACATGAAGCATGAGTTCAGAAGTAGAACACCCACACATTAAGACAGAAAGGGAGATATGATCACATGACAAGACAGAAATCAAAACAAAAGACAGAAAAGCGGGGAAATGGTCTACACAGATACAGGCAGATACAGGGTCTACACATACACTGGACATGACAGTCTAACCACAAACAAAACATAACCACGAGTCACTGCACTAGGAGAGGAAAAACAGAGTGATACTGAGAGAGAGACGTGCTCGTCCCATCACCTCGTCCCATACCGCGGCCGCCGCGCGGTGCTCCGCGCATGCCGCCCCGGCCGCCGTCCGGCTTCGGCGTCGCCTTCTTCACGTCCACCTCGATGTCCTTGATCTTGGTCTTGCCGGTGCGGATCAGGTCCTGGACGACCGCCTCCTGCTCGAACGTGATGAAGCAGAAGCCCTTGCGTGTGTTCTTCACCTTGTCCATCGGCATCTCAACCTCCACCACCTGAGAGAGGGGACGGAGAGATGTTATGCTAGGTTTTGAAAGGAACAAGAGTAATAACACTCCTGTACCCTATGAAACAGCAGCAAATTTTCCAGTTGCTTTACTGTGTATTGTAACGACTTGCTACTTATGTTTCCGGAAGACTCTGGCGTCTAGGAAAAGGTTAATTAAAAACGTGCCAAGTACTTGCACAAAATGCTTTAAAAAGTGACCCAAACACATTGAAGTGATGCATTTTCAACCAGCTTCTATTAGAGCCATGATCTCCCACGTCTTCACAGTATCAGTCATTCTCTCTCTCCCTCGTTTCTCTTACCGTGCCCATGGCGGAGAAGTGGTTCTTGATGTCATCGTCGCTCATCTCGGGCTTCAGACCTCCGACGAAGATTTTGCCGTGGCGCGCCTTCGCCTTCTTGGGGTCCACCTTCTTACCGTTGATGATGTGTTCAGACTTGCCCAGCACCTGAGCGCCACAAATATGTTAGGGCAAGGGGTAGGCATTCCACCAACCTGCATTGACCCAATCCCAGAGCGTGATGTAAACGAACTTTAATTTAAACCTGATGCACCTCATCAGTGCTGAAATTCCAAAGGAGAGCTGAACAAATCTTCAAAATGCAGAGTTGTACGGGATTACACCTGAACAGCACCAGCACCAGCAGCACAGCACCAGGGAAGTAAGTTCGCCCTTAATGTCCAATCCATCCTTACTACCATTACCTCTACTCCTCATTCACGTACCTTGTCGATGGTCTCTGTGTTGGAGAAGACGAGGAAGGCAAAGCCGCGGGACCGGCCCGTGTTGGGGTCCGTCTTCACATTCACAGACTCGATCTCGCCGAACTGGCCGAAATAGTCTCGGAGCTCCTCTGCGAGAGGAAGACGTGACGATTATCACGTGGGCGATCGACAGCAGGTTCTTTTCTATTTCTCTATCATCCTAGGAACAGTGACTTCATGAAAAATAAACTACGTAGGAAAAACAGTTGGATAAACGTCTTATTGTAGAGCTGAGCTACCAACCACGCGCCCGGACATTGAGAAAGAGGTCCCGCGTGGTGTGTTAGCCGCGCCCGTGGTTTCTGTCCTTCCTTTGCACCGCCCGGCCGACCCGGCGCCGCCTCCAACCAGAGCCGGATGGCGGCGCTACGGCCGGGCTCTGAGTGTGCGGGAAGTGGTTCGGGGAAAAGGGATCTTATCTTAGAACTATAGTTGGAACTTGCCAGGTCCACTCGGCTAGCTAGCGTGCAAATTGTTGGGTAACAATGCAAGAGCAAGACTAGAGTAATTACAAGTGTAGATAACATCCAACGACCAACTAGTTTGCAAAGCTGGCATTGAACTGGTTTTGGAAGGCAATGACTAGCCAGCATTTCGCGCAAAACTTCACATGTTCGAAACGCATATCGGACGTAATACCACAAAATCCCGCCCGGAGAGAAGAGACAGTTATACTCACTCTCTGAGCTCTCCCAGCTGAGGCCGCCGACAAACAGCTTCCTGAAACGAGGCGGCGGGGAGGGGAGCGTCAGCGGCCGCCGGCGGCACCCGCTGCGGCCGGCCGGGCGCGCGCAGCAACCCCCAGCCGGCCCTGACCACCGGAGCTATACTTTACCGGCTTACTGGGCGCCTCAGTGAGAGACAGGCTGGCCAGTCAGTTACCATTAGCGAGGAGAGTCCAGAGTGGCTACGTTGCGGCCGGCCGTGACGGCCTTCAGACAGCTCTGGACGGCGCCTTAGCAACCCTCTGAGAGCGCGTGCGTGAGACGACCACCGCCGCAGGGCTGGCGGCCTCGCGTAAGGCGGCGCTGACTCGTGAGAGAGCACACTCTGCAAGAACACTGAGTACACAAACGGCAAATAGAGCGCAGATACGGTAACGGAGCACAGTCGAGTGGCACGGTTACGTTAGTGGCCGCCCGGCCGGGCAGGTAGGTAGGTGGCCGGGCGGGCGGCGGGCCGGGGGCCGGGGGATGGGGGCGGTATAAATACCATTGGCGTGGCCCGGCGGACGGTCAGGGCGCGCCGGACGCTTCCCTGCGGAAGGAAGGCGCACCGTCAGTCGGCTCGGGCCGCGTCCCCGAGACAACCGCCGCTAGAGAGGAAACGAGAGAGAGCGACTCCGGCAAATCTGGCTACCGAGAGAGAGAGAAAGGCAGAAGGCTCGGCCGGGAGGCCTGATGTACAAACTGTCTGGAGATCCACCAACGCCAGCCGTGGAATGACTGGAAAATGGGCTTACTTGATCCACAAGAATGAAGTCCTTCAATATAGAAAATGCTGTTCTGGAGTTGTGAAAAAGCTGTGAACATTTAGACAACAGAGACAAAACTGATTTATTAAGTCTGAAAATTATTTGTCAATGACGAGAAACGAAAACATACATACACAGCACACACAGTTTCAAAAACACTTGGGGCATCCCAAACCCGAGGGAATTGAACATGCACCTGTGCTGAAAACCGGCACCCAAAAACGTGGACCCGCCAAGGACTGGGGGAAAGGAATGAGGGGCCTTGAAAGCTGCCTGTAATTGCTGGTCCACTGCAAAATTAACCTGTAATTTACATTTACATTGTAAACAGCATCCCCTAGAGCTGCCAAACAAGTTAGTGTCAACATGTTAATACTTAATATCGATACAAAGGAATTAAGTGACTGCAGCAATATATGTCAATATCATGAGTCAAATGTGATATCAGATATATGAATAAGGAAAGCACAATAAAATAAACATTTTTTATTTTTCAATTGCACATTTCCTTATAAAATAGACCTCAACGTTACACTACACTACAAATGAAATTCAAAAGGAAATAGTTCACGGTTGCAAGATTGTGGAGAAATTCCTTCAACACTCGCACAGCCTTAACCTAAACTGGATGAGTTTTAATGTTTCGTTATTTTTCATAGGCACTCATTAATGGCATGTCACGGCATTTCTGCACGCGATGGATTGAGGCCAATTGGCTGAATACATTTTTGCCACAAAATAAGACGTGTGATAGCAGCACCTGTCATTGACAAATCAAATACAATCAACTGACTAATAACTTGTCTGTCACCCTGTAGAACAAGGTGCAAACTAAAAACTAGCATTTTCAAAAGGTGAACTATTTCCTTTGATTAACATGAAGTCAAGGGGCCAACTTTTCCTTTCTCTGTGCATCAGTCACCGCAGCATTACCACATAAGAGAAACCTTCATCTGCTCAATTAAGAGAACATATTTCACATTCAATTACACTGGACAATTTCAGGCCGGGACACCAACAATTCATTACATTGCTACATAATCCTAGTACAAGCAGCCAATAACTCTAAAAGCAGCACAAAAATGCAAACAACCATAGGCCCTCATAACATTTAAAAATACTAAGACCCCAGGTAACAGGCAAAAAAGGAAAGTAGGAGGGGCAAGGTTCCCCCATAACTCCTTTCCAGCACTGCTAGCCAGACAATGAACATTATCTGGCCAAATGTCACCACGTCAGTGCTGCAAGTGCTTGAAAAAGAGATGCAAATACCAAGCAGGCCCACCAGAACATATCAGTCGGGCGCACTATGGTATCGGCAGTCCATTTATAGAAACGTTTCTATTTTTGGAAGAAAGTTCCAAAAATGGAAACGCTAAAAACCAACTGTTCCAATAATGGAAACGCTCCGTTTCTATTTTCGGAAACGCAAGGAGCACATAAACCTGTTCGGTAGTTTCCGCAACAAACCATAGATTTCCGCATCAAACAAAGGCCACCAATCAAAAGACCGCATTTCGCTTCATAATTCCAACGTTGAACAGAAAAATCGGCTGTTGAACAGGCTTGCACGGTCCACTTCCTTTTGTAAACAATAGATTTTTTCATGATAGGTGAACTTTTATGTGTCATTAATGAAATATACCTCATTTTTTTGTGGAAAAATTTGATCTTCACAAGAATGGCAATTTTTTAATTGACAGACTTGCTGTCTGGTATTCATTAATATTTTACATTGCTGTAAAGCAAGCCCTGAATGGCGTGTTGGTGACCACGTGCGGAGATCGTCTCTCCGGCTTTGGAAGGCGGTAAGTTGGAAAATATTTCGTACAGATGCTTCTAAGTGGGCAAACTGAACTTCTTAGCACCCATTTAACTTACGAATGTGTGAAAGTTGGTAGAATGTATGTAAATAATTGCATTAAAGGTCTGATATGTTACTGCTTGTCGGAAGCGATCCAAGCTGTCGTCCAGTTTTAAACGATTCAATTATATGAAAAAGCGATGACAAGGTGTTATAAACAATTTCTATGGATAGGGAAATGCTCAAACTGTACTAATTGCCCACTTTGCACCGTATTAGTTCAGTAGGCCTTCAGTTAGTGCCTGTGTAAGGCCCATTGAATAATGCTTTATGATGCACAGTTTCCATTTTTGGAACAAATGACGAATTTTAACTCAAGTTGTACATACAGCTCACAGATGCAGTAGGTTGTATGTATTTCAACTCTTATTTGCATTTAATGCTTTTAGAAGCACTTTCTGCCTTTCTCATTTCTAATAATCCACGAGAAGGTTGGAAAAGGTGCACGCTCCAACAGCATGAAATGCGAACCGGAGCTTCTGAACCGGCCTGATTAGGCCGAAGTTTAACTCCAACCTTACTTGTAAAGCTTTGCTTTTCTTGGGAAGCCAGAGTCTGTTAACCACAAATTCAGGGCACATCGCGACGCTTACTGCAGTCACGCATGCATGCTTGCAACAGTTAAAATATGTTATAATGTGGGTTTCGTAAGCAGTAGCAGCTTAGTAGGCAAGACGGTTGGACAGTTCTGGGGTTTATGTAGGTGCCTAGAAATTGGGGACTTTCCCCAGAAGACACATTTTCGTAAGCATTATTGTACCAACATCGGCTTTCGGGCACTATGCCCAAGCAATTGGAGGACCATTCATACGAAATTTAGATGCAAAGGGAAATCACCCATATCGGAACATGTACCAGCATCAATAGCTCGGCAATTACTTAGAAGGCGTGGGGTAGACAGGCCCACATATCAATAATATGGTGCTTATGCCTTTTCCTGTGTTGGCTCATAGTTTCCATTTTTGGAACCTTCCGTTTCCAAAAATGGAACGTTGACAAGGGTTTGCGTCAGGGCATCAGATTCGCCATTTGCGTACGAAAATATTGTTGGATTTTACTGTTTTGGGAGAAAACATATCGACGAAAAGACACACCAGCTGAAAAGATTACAATGAACTTAAGAAATACAGAAATATGCCTGCTTAAAAATTGGCGTTTCTAATTTTGGTACTGGCGTTTCCATAAATGGAACAAAGTGCCTTCCAAATTTGGAAACGTTTCCTTTAATAGATACGTATTCATAAATGGACTGCCGATACCATAGTGCGCCCAACTGATATGTTACCCATTTACATAAGCTGCGTTCTAACGCCCAATTTTCCACTTGGAATTTCCACACCAAGGAAGTCCTAACAAAAACAGCCCTCATGGAATTCAACAGAATCCTGCGCAGTGAAAAATGCTGAGCATGTCACACCTTCTTCATGATTGCGGCCACCAAGAAAATGATGTTCATCTATGATTTCAGGGTTCAAAATAATAGTGCATTTTTTCATAATTTGAAATTTGGTTCTATAATATGCTGTAAGCAATTCACAATGAATTTACATGGTTTTCATTTAGCTGAGCTTTTATTGAAGATGTAAAATAAAAACTTTGAGTAGGCATTCATGGCAAAAATCTGGATAAACCAAAACATTTTTTTTTTTTTTGGTAAAACCTGATTACCTGATCAGACTAAGCAGTTGAACCAAATGTGGATAAATTAAAATTCTATCCATTCATTATTTAATTTTGTGGATGAGACAAACTGATATTTTTTGCATCATCATGATCAGACATCAACACAACATGGACAAATCAAGTACTATGTTCATATACTCTGAATGCTTATCCACACTTGTTCAGCTCAAAATTACTGAACAAAGAAAATGTGTCTTGGCAGGTGGCAATGTCCCAGTCCAGCCCAGGCTCTGCCTATTCTTGTACATACCATAATTAAATTGCTTGAAAATTTTGCAAAAAATATGCAGAAGCATAAAAGAAGCCCAAAAGTAAAGCCTTTAACTCACAAGGTGAGGTGAGTTGACCTTTTTTATAAATTTAGCTCAAATGTTTGAATGGAAGGATTGACAGAGCCGGAACCCAAACTAAGCATAGCTTGTTGCGCAGGCCCCGACCCCTACCGCGCCCCGACCCCTACCGTCCGATCACGCAATTCCGGGTAACAGGAGAATTTAGATGCCAAAGACCTCAAAGCAAAATGGAAGCAAACAGTGCACCACCAAAACCCCCCCAAACCATGAATAAAGAAAAGGAGGGACACAACCCAAAGGAAAAAATAAAATACAATATCCTCACCTCTCATCATCGCGGCCGGGCGCCTCGGCGGCGCCGCTGTCCTTTCCGGCGCCATCGCCGGAGCCGTTCGTGCCCTTGGCTTTGCCATTCTCCTGAGTGATGGCCTCCCCAGAGTTGAAACCCTCGTTTCCGGTGTAGTCGGATGTGAAATCTTCGCTCATCTGCACGTCAGTATTCCCGTTAGCCATGGTGAATATCAGACTTGCGAAAACACACCCAAGATGGCGAACAACGAGCGGATGTTTCCCGCCGTATCGATTGAGCATTCTGGGTATGGTGTCTGAAATGTCCGCCAGGTGGACACCCGGAAGCAGAGGTTTTTGCTCTAAAATAATAAAATAGGCAATAATTTAACATCTCACACACTTACCTTGGTTACTTAAAAGAGTGTCGAGGTCAAGAGAGTAAAAAACCACACGTAGAAACGCTAGAAATTACCAAAAGAGCGCAAAAATGTTACAGCGTCCTCCCACGACAAAGAACCGGGCGCAAGAGGAATTTTCTGCCGTGTTGTTCGGCGTTGTCAAATTGGATAACACTTTTTTCACTTTCAAGTATTCCGTTTTAATCCTTTTACGTCTTTTCCTTTTTTACCTAAAAATTAATTTGAAAAAATAATTGAATGAAACAATAAACAATATCATTCTAAAATAAAATTATTAGAGTCAGAAGCAACTACCAAATTTTATTGATGGTTCATTATACACGTAAGCGCACCTCGCGATTATGGAATCTGCTAGAAAAATACGATTTCAAAAACAGAAACAGTTAGAAAGAATAAATAATCGTACTTTATGTGTCTTGAAATGCATGTGGTACGCCACATGACTAGAAGCATCCATTAAATTTGCAATATGCTCAGAAAATAAATGAGTGCTCAAATAACTGTGTGACGTTTGGCCCGGCCAAGCTTAGTTTCGTTCGTCGCGAGAAACCTGCCTCCCTTTTCCATGACATCCATTATGGGTTGCCAACAGTGAATCACACGAATTCTAATTTCAGATAACCTACATAGCAGACATGTGCATGGATCCAAGTAAATGGATCTGGGATCTGACGATCCCACGGATCCTCATCTCGGATCTGTCGGATCTGTCGGGGTCATTGGTCCAGCTCTAAAATTTATCGAGAAATCCGTAGGGATCATAGATCCGAGTCTATTTTTTTTCTTGAGATCAAGTGAGATCGTAGATCCCACTTTACCTACTTTTTGTCAACTCAGAAATCCCAGAAAATCACTCGTTGCAACTCTCCTTCGAGATCCACTGATATCATAGATCCATCACTCGGATCCATCAACATGTCTGCTTTTGATAGCCGCAGACGTTCAAAAGTACCTACCGCTCATCAATAAGCTAGTTCATTCGAGTCTATACCGGTAGTTCTGAGCTCAAATGAACATGAGGAACTCTGCCACCCCTCCCCCCCTCTCAATCGATAGTTCAACTGTTCAAAAATTTCCAATGCAAGTTACACTAAGCCTATTGCCATCAAGCATCTTCACACCATCGTTCAACATACACACTAATCACTTATGCCCGCATTACAAAACGGGGGCGCTCGGACTGCAATTGAGCATTGGGGCACACGTTGCATTATCAAAATATGTCAATTTTCTAGAGAAAACCTCTATCAAAGCCACCATCAAATCTGGTACAATTATGTATTCAACATCACACAAATGACAGCGCGGCACCCAGTGGAGGAATTTTATTGAGGTGCACCGCCCACTGTGAAGAATGGAACAGGATACATAGCTGCGAAAATCACACACTTTTCTGACTTAGCCGATGGCTCTGCTGTTTTTTTGCGGTAATTCAAACGGTGATTTTACGAATTGTCATCAAATCCGCGAAGACAACGCATGCTTATTGTTATATACGAAGATGAGGCAAGATTCAGTCAAAATCAAGATGCCTATCCGATAAAGAGAACATGTCTAGATGCGATAGCCGGTATGCCAGCAAAATATGTTGTCGCGTACGAAAAACGCCAGAATTGGAAAGATGGGCAACTGAGACAGCAAACGTCTCCAGAAAAGAAAGGTAGCCGAAGACAACTTTTTAGCTAGGAACGCTCAAACAATCGACATTGAGAAAGCTCATCCACGACAAATCACATCAACCATCAACCATCTACATTGCCAGATTGTAGACAATAACAATACGGTGCCAGACAACACAGCGAACACCACACTGCGCTGTTTAGAACACGCAATCAAAAGATCGAGCCACAAAATCAAATTCTGAATGGAAGAGATCACAAACAGTAATCGCAGTGAGTTTCTCGTTTTGCGTACTAAGAGCAAACTAAGAGTAAAAAAAGGTTTTGAAACAGTTTTTTTTAGTAGCTACACAAAAAAATGCTCTCACGTATTCGCACTTTTTCCACGCGCGCCATTTACACAGAGATCCTTGGATGTCCGGCACAGAATCTTCTGAGGCAAAGATTGATGAACGCATGGACGGAAACAATGGCACATGCTATCGAAACAAAAGGACCTCCCACTAAAAGTCAAACCAATCGGTCACTTTTGCTGCAGATATCGACACCTTTTTTTTAAACCCCACATCTGTTCTCCGGTGAATTTCCGGGAAGCACGAAAGATCTCTTTTTAGAAGTGTCCAATCGTCCGATCCTGATCAAATTTGTGTGTTCGTAAGCTTGCTCTGGCATTGCTTGATCTGCCAAGACAGACAAACTTGAGAAAAATCGAGTGACTGTACCTTTTTTGAAGGTTTCTAAACAGGTGTCGATATTACCACATTGTTTGCAAGTAAATCTAAACATACACCAATACAGACGTGCAATAAATACAATGAAATAATTCGTAAGATGCCCTGAATCTATAACTAAGCTTGCAGCCACATATATATCGTTGTTTGGTATAACCTAAGGCAACACAAACAAGGAACAAAACCTTTTGTCAAGGAAGTTTTGTCCTGTACAAATCATGAACTATAAGCACCGTCGCGTAAATGACAACCTGCTAAGGACTATTGCGTAATGGAGCAGATGACTCATACCGAACCGGTTTTCACGCATAAGGTCGAAATAAAATAAATGCCCACGAGAAAGTTCGTCCTAAACTACCCCATCAGTCATCTTTGTCTTAGACACATTTAACAACCGTTATACGAATGTCCATTTAATATGTTTCCAAAGTACAACGCTAAATGTTCAGACTAAAAAAATCGAAACGGATAACATCCAACAGCAATCCCAGACCGATAACACCGAAATAGAAGCTGGCTTTTATCCGTTCCAGACTCAGTTGCATCGTGTTCTTTCGATAAGCAATGACGTAGCCCGCGCACTTAGCACATTCTCACTCATATTTAGCGCGTGCAATGCCCGTCCGAGCTGAATGAACAAACTCCATAATGCGATGAGCAAGATCTTGTAGTGTGTTGGTTGTCATGGTAACTGTTCGCCTATCACACCTTCAGCGAATCCAGAACACGCTCCAGATGGGGGTTGCCGCCTGGAAAAATGAGATGAAAAGCGCGAGTCAGCATTGCACGGCAGTTACACTGTCGAAAGCTGAGGTAACATCGAGGGGATCGCATCATGATGAGGAGGTAGCATCGTAAATGAGCAGGTGAAGTGAGGGAGTAAACTGAGTGAGTGTTTAGGGGAGAGTGGGGCACATTCGTGCATGGGGCACATTCGTTTTCAGCAGTTTATGGGAACACGAGTGACTGCACGAGCTCAAGGTAAATTATGGAAATATGTCTATCATTGCCGCCCTTCGTTCACCGTACCTGCTGTCATGCTTGATAAAAACGCAAATTTGTAATATTCGTGAGCTTTCCAAACTTTTCTCATATTATCCATTTTCGTGATCCAGACTCGGAAATGTGGTTCAGCTTTTCAAAATTGGGGGTGAAGAAGCTCACTCTATTCACGGAACTGCTGCAAACTTGTTTGTTGAAAAAGTGTCATTTTTTCAAAAAGAAATTTTGAAATATATTACTAATAACGTTGTGGGGCAGGTTCGTGTACGCACTGCCTGGGGGCACATTCGTGCATATTTTTTTAGTTTTTGCGATTTATGACTTTATCTGTAGTAGGTTTCTCTAATGACGCTCGCCTGACTCAGTCTCGACTGCTTGCGACGTCGTGACGAGCAATTCACGCGAACTTGGCGAGGTCACGGAGGCCGGCAGTTGGCACATTCTTGTTGGCCAGCCCATTCTTTCTACATATGTTGTGCAATGCATTCTTGTCGAAAGGAATCAAGTGAAATGACCCCCTGCCAATTTCCTTTGGTAAATTTCTGGTAATGCCCGGTAATTTCTCGAACTTTGCAGGGTGAACGGAAGTGCCCCACCTCTTGAACGAATGTGCCCCATAGGTGGGGCAGCTTCGTGCAAATGTTCAGAGTTATTAAAAGTCATTTTTTTCTAATGGAAGCAATAATTTTAGAGGATAACTTTTGAAGAGGAAAACTATCTGCAATAGTTCCTTTCCATACTACAATCAACAATTTTGCCATTGCACTAACCAAAGAACAGATATATGGGTTTATCCATTTTTTGCACGAATGTGCCCCACTCTCCCCTATGTCAGTGAGTGTCAGTGAGTGAGTGAGTGAGTGAGTGAGTGAGTGAGTGAGTGAGTGAGTGAGTGAGTAAGTAAGTGGCTAAATGGGGGCTTCAGTGAGTGAGAAAGGGTCAGTAAGTGGGTTTTAGTAAGTGAGTGAGTGAATGAATGAATGAATGAATGAATGAATGAATGAATGAATGAATGAATGAATGAATGAATGAATGAATGAATGAATGAATGAATGAATGAATGAATGAATGAACGAATGAGTGAGTGAGTGAGTGAGTGAGTGAGTGAGTGAGTGAGTGAGTGAGTGAGGGAGTGAGTGGCTGAATGAGTAAGTCAGTCAATGAATCACTGAGTGAGTGAAATGTAAGTGAGTGTTTAAGTGAGGAGTGTAGGTGGAGTGAGTGAGTGAGTGAGTGAGTGAGTGAGTGAGTGAGTGAGTGAGTGAGTGAGTGAGTGAGTGAGTGAGTGAGTGAGTGAGTGAGTGAGTGAGTGAGTGTTAACTCACCGAGCAGCGCGATCTCCTCTCGAGCCTCTGCGTCCAGCCTTTGCAGGGTCTGCTTGGTGTAGTCAAATGATCCGAATTGTTTGAGCAGAGAGATACAGTACTTCTTCACCTGTGACAGCGAGGGAAGAATGAACAATGTGAAACGAATATGGCGACGTTATGACCTAAAACTTAATTATCAATTAGGCTTCACAATAGGCACTACTCGAAGCAGTTGTCTCGTTTTGTAACCATATGTTCGGCAATACCTTTCTACTCATGGTAGTTATGCAGCTTAGGTTGTTTATCTTTCTTCCGGTAGTTTTGATGAAAATGTTCGCTGGTTCTTTAATCCACACATTTTTCTATCCATCCACCCATCCATTCCTTCTATCAATCCATGTTTTTAGGTATATTTTTCAATAGGGAAGCTAAAAAAACCTAGGTGCCACCTTTCCCATTCCAACCCAAAACACCAACGCAACATCCTCTGTCACCTCACCTCGACATCAGTGGTGCGCTGTCTGATGATGTTGACCACGCGGGTGTCGTCCGGGTGGGTGGCGATGGCGTGGATACAGGGAAAGTTGAACTTGCCCTCCGTCAGATCCTCGGCAAAACTCTTACTCTCCGTGTACTGCGGAGAAGGGGAAACGGGGGGGGGGGGATTGTGAATTATTTGGGGTTTAATTCGGCGCCAAGACTCCTTAGAGGGCCGTAAAAGGGGAAGAGAGCTGGCGACATCTGAACTGAAATAGGATTTGAAAGACGATATCAGCTCGGAAAACGTAAATAAAACATTAACTACGCTTTTCATTTCAAGTGGACGCCTTTCATTTCAAAAGATGCCAAAATTGCACCGACAAAGCCTCTTATTCACCTCCTGAAGGCAGAGGTTGGCATAGTCGTCTCGGATCTGGAAGAACAGGCCCAGCGTGGACGACAGCTTGGTAAAGTCGTGTTCACACGAGGAAAACAGCTGCATCAGTCGGGTAGCCAGACCGAACAGGCCGCCCGTCTCTGGAAAATGACGACATAGGGTGAACGTTTATATTAGTAACCGCGGATACGGTTTCTGAGCAGTTAATCGCCACGCAATTTGATGATGTGGATTGCTCTTGAATGCACAATACAACACAAGGCAATACAATACAATGAATAAGTATTGGCGATTCTCGCTTGGTTTTCGGCGGCGGCATTATACATCAACCCCCTGAAATTCTACGACAATCAGTGTTCATTATTTACACAACAATTTCAGTAGATTTAACGACGCATGCTGCGTATAACACGACGTACTATCGGCCACGGCTCTCATTCATACACAATTCGCAATCAAAAACTAACGGCTCACCACCAACAACTCTCCTCACTAGCTCCATGACATCACACCGACCCAGTGACATCATCACCACCGTACCCAGTACTCACTGCGGATGGTCATCTGGCGGTACTCGTCCTCCGTGGGACAGTGAAAGTTGTCGCGCCAGTAGATGTCCATACCCTGACCGCGGTGCAGCTCCAGCAGCTGCTCACAAAACACCGACGTTGCCTGGCAACGGGAGAGCAGCGCGTGACGTCATTAGTTGAAGAACGATGGACAGTTTGGTAAGTGTACGGCTCTCGAGAGATTAAGCGGTAGGTTTTGCACTTTTACCTTTCCGGTTATATCTCAGAAACCAATCGATCTACGATGAAGCCATTTTACACGATCATGGCCGGTTTGTGAACCAACAAGTCGATCGCATCTTCAACACTTAAAAGCTTAAAACGACGAAGATATAGCCTGAAGTACACTAAATTTTCTAGGTGCAAAACCTACCGCTAAAACCCGCGAGACCTGTACATCATTGACACTCACAATGATCGTGATAACATAAGAAACATACAGGATGTCCAATGTCCATTGACCTTCTGAATCACCGTTACATCGTGAGCGTCAGCATAATTATGCTGATTTTCAGTGCTCGGCACGCATCATACGTGAGACGAACGCAAGGTACGCGAATTATGAATGCAACATCTAAAAGGTGACCTCTCCACGCCTGCAGCACGGCACCTCTCTCAATGACATACCCCGTGTGTTTCTCGCACCAACCCACCAAACAACGTGGGTCCAAGTATGGTACCTCGGGGTACTCCAGTCCAGCCCCTGTGTCTGCTCCAATACACGACACTATCGAAATACTTGTGTGTGTCACCAAACAGCGTGGGTCCCAGTATCGTACCTCGGGATGCTCCAGCGCCTGTGTCTGCTCCAATACACCTCTATCAAAATTCAAAAACCATACTATCAAAATGCTCTGTGTGTCAGTAAACAGCGTGGGTCCTAGTATCGTACCTCGGGGTGCTCCAGCGCCTGTGTCCGCTCCAGTCCCATAAAGTACACGTAGTTGGAGGCGTTGATGGTGCTGGCCATGCCGTAGATGCTGTGCGCCACCGGAATCCCCCGGCGGAGGATGCTGCGGTCCTCGATGTCATCAATTCTGCCGGGCGAAGGAACGAACGTAAAAAGTCCGTGATATGATTGTGTTGTATTGGATGGTCTTTTTTACACAGATGACTTATCATGGATGTAATAGTTACACATGGGTTAACAACCATGCTAAATCGAAGTGAGGCATTAGCTTCATGTGTACCACAATGTAAAACGTCCTTTTCACACCATAGATATAAGAACGACTGGGCATTGTGGGGGCATGGAGGCAGTAATCCAGCTTGTCATTAGGCCTAGGGGGTGTTATTCTATCGGTAGTGAGTACTGGGTGAAATGATTCAGCGCATATGTTCCAACCCTCAATGAAAGGCGTATATACAGCATGTAAGCTGCATGCATTGTACGGCATAGACGCATGGGAATCTGGCCTGTGGGCGATGAACTGAAGTAAGTAGCATGCATCTCAACGGAGAACAAATTTAAAAAATTAAGATCGCTATCGCTTTCATGCGAATGCAATTTTGATGAGACAGAGCTTTTGGGTTTGTCGGTTAACTTGTGCAACTTCTTCACGCAGACTTCTTTGGTACCTTGTTCAACTAGTGGACGTTTAAGCGCAACTTTTTTTCCATATTCCGATGGAGTTTCATGAATGATCGTATCCCAGCACCAACCGCTTTTTTACTGTTGGTAAAATCCTGCTCACTTCACCCTTTGCTCCTACGTTTTTTTTTTTTAATAAGCTTAGCGAGAATGGGTCGCTTAGAGCTTCGGCGCTCGTTAAACATACCAAACTCGGTAACACCAAGGACTCTATCTGGCTCTCTGGCTCGGCCACACAACCCTTACACGGCTTCAGGTCTACCGTTAATGTTTGGAACAACGGACGCATCGCAGGTAGGTAGATGCTGAAACGGTCGTGGCTGGGTCCGGTATATCTGAGTGTTTTCAAAGTCGTAATCACTGTCGCATCATTATCATATACTTATTAATTATGGCCACTCGTCAACAGTGATAGTCAAGTTCAGCCTGAGCTGTTAACGACAAATTCCGACTTCAGAAGGCTGTTTTGCGGGTTACAAATTCTCAATGTGACACATTCTATTGATGGATTATGCGTGAGGAACACTTCAATTGTGTGAAACATGGGGCATTCACACCATTTAAAAGAGCAAACTAAATGTGCCCTAAAACTTGAGTTTTGCTCCTGCATCGGTGGAAGTAGGCTTCGTTAAACAATTATAACGTGTTTGTGACTCACCGTTGCTTTCCCCTGCATGGCAAAGTACTGAGGGGAATACAGGAATCAGCACATATTCATATATGGGTTTGCCACAATCTTTGGATGGAAGGCACTGACAGAAGCTGACAGAATTTGATTGAAGGGTGGAACTGACACCAATGCTCATGCAATGTGCAAATATTAAATAAAATATACTTTCATATTCCAGTGAAATGAAACAATGTGTTGTTCAAATTTGTAGAAACTGATTTACACTCAAAATCAAAATAAAACCTTAAGCAAAAACATGCCCAGCTATGATCTAGTCATCTCAGCATCAAGCAGCTGAAGATTTGTAAATTGATAATATTATCAATTATCTCAATATGGCCTTGTAGGCCAAAGAACCAGTCCAGCAGAAAATGCTGCAGCAGTCAAAGTATCAGCAGTCGTCAACTCACAGCAGGCTGGCATTGTGCAGCATCTCCACGATCTCCTCGATCTGGCTCAGCTTCTTCTCTGGCACATTCATCCAGTAGTTGAAGGACTGGGCCAGCTTGGAGCGGATCTGCTTGCCAGGCGTCTGGCAGATGTAGTGGAATGGCTGCAGCAGCAGCTGCCGGGCACACGCGAGGGTGGTGTGAACTGGGTGCGCAAATGCAGGAAGGGCTTGGAAAGCCTGTCCCGTAGCTCAGTTGGTAGAGCATTGGACTCCCGGTAGTGAGAGCCCGGGTTCGAGACGCTCCGGCGCTCGATACTTGAGACTCCTGACGGGGATGGTCTGCGGTTGGTGGGAGCAGCCGCAGCCAGTTGAAGTCAGTTGAGTGGGACAGGCCATGTCCGGCTTTGAAGGGCACGTTAAACTTTGGATTCTAAATCCTCCCATTGCCCGGATTGCGCGATCGGACAGTAGGGGTCGGGGTCTACGCAACAAGCTCTGCTTAGCGTGGGCTCCGGCTCTGTCAATCCGTCCATTCAAACATTCGAGCTTAATTTATTTTTTAAAAAATGGGAACACTAACAATTTACATACTTACTTACAAAAAACAGGTAGAGACCTAGCCAAAGAAATTGCAAAAAAAAACTTACATGCTCGCATTGTAAGGGTTAGGCATTAACTCATGTTTTCCTAAAAAATGATGATCCACTCATGTATCACCGATGAAAGTAATAAATATACAGCTTTTTTATGGATTACAATCACATTGTCTATTTTCAATTACTACAGCTGCACACCTTATCCTGAGCAGGGTCTCCTGAAAGACTGAGGTATTTATTGGAGGGTGTATCTTTGCAGTCTTTGGAAGTTTGTTCTCCATCAGCCATCTTGATGGAACTTGATGGCCTGCAAAAAAGAGAATTATTTAGTCAGCCCGACCATTGCGTGGATTTGGAATCAAGCCAAGAGAATCAACCTGATGCATAGCGCCAATGCAAATGACACGCATTGCAATTGAGAGCTATTACGATATGATTTTTACTTATATTGATATCACACTATATAGCCTGATGACAATCTGATATTGATATTGTAATTTGAATTACGCCATTATGATTAAAATTACTGGAACTTCAACTTACTAAGTACTAACCTAACCTACAGATAATTTGCTGAAGGCTGTATCAGTATCACGGAAGGTATAAAAATAGAGAACTGAATGATTGTCTGTTGCCGCCTTTTTGATGTACTATAACTACATTACATTTAAATCAAAATAATTAAAAGCAATTAAAATGAATTTCAGTAGACTTGCATGCGGCTACTTGAAAGTCACAAATTGTCGCAAATGCGCCAAAATGCGGTTTTCAAGCCGGTGGCATACGACGATTTAGCTACCATCTAGCGGCTCTTTGGGAATAATAGCCTTCTAGACGATCAACAGATGACACTACAAGGCAAGTTTTCCAGAGGGCTGTTCACGGGCTCTGTGTGCGGTCGGACCGCACACAGCCTCGAAGCTCCGCCCACTTCGTCTCTACGTCAGCATTCCGTCACCGCACACAGCGATCCACAGCGATCGCTGTGGCCGGTCGGGACTGGCCACAGCGGACCGTCCACCGCACGCAGCCGTGACGTCAGAACCGCCTACCCATCCCCTACCCCCACGCCTGCTGGACGCACCGCACACAGCGCACGCAGCAGTGTGCGGTGCCCGTGAACACCCCTCAGATGATCAGAGCTAATGTTCAGGCTTCAATCTTCAGGCAGAGCAGCTATAGGTACACCTACATATATAATTTTGTGGTTGAACCTGCATCCATTACGCAGTTTGAGAACTGCTGACTGCAGTGCACGGTTGGGAAATCGAACCGGCTTTCATCCTTGAACTTGGTGCCGCCCAGCACGACGGGTCCTCGGACCCTGTCGGCTGTCCCTATCGGCTCACGGCTGTCCCTGTCCCCGCGGCCGGCTGTCCCGCTGCACGCACAACGGTGTCGAGTGTTATCTGCCACGGACCGGTCTGTGGTGTCAAACTGTTTATCTACCGTCCCACCGTCTTTCTGTCGACTGTCCCTCTGTGTGTTCCCTTGTCATTCTGGGCCAGCTGTTTGTCTCTTATCCCTACCTATCCCTTCCGTCCCTCCCCAGTGTCATGGACTACCGGCCGGCCTCGGTAGCCGTGTCGCGGGCGCGGCTACCCCCGCTGTCCGTCGTTCTGTCCCGTGTCCCTCCCCGGTCGGCGGTCCCTCCCCAGTGTCATGGACCACCGCCGTCACTGTCCCTCTGTCTGTCCCCCTGTCCCTCTATCTGTCCCTCCCCGGTCCCTCTCAGGTGTCATGGACCCATAGGCGGCGGAACGGGGAGGGCGCCACCGGGGCACCGTGCCCCCCTTTGATTTTGGCATTTTAACATTAGCCCTATGGTCGTTGCATGGAAAGAATGGGACCAAAAGTCGGCAGTGCCCCCCCCCCCCTCAATTGAAGGTGTTCCGCCGCTTGTGCATGGACTTCCGTCTCACTATCTCCCTATCCCCCAATCTGCCCCTCCTGTACCTACCCCCGGTCTATTCCTCTCACGGCTCTCACTGTCCCTGTATATCTGTCCCTTCCCGGTCCCTTTCCGCGTCATGGACTGCCGGCCCCTGTCCCTCTGTGTGTCCCTCTATCTGTCCCTCCCCGGTCCCTCTCCGCGTCATGGACCGCCGGCCTCGTCTATCCCTCTGTCCGTCCCCCTGTCCCTCCCCGGTCCCGTCCCTCTCCAGTGTCATGGACCGCCGTCCGTCCGGTCCGGCCCCAGCGGCCCCCGATAATCAGCCGCTGCTCAGCACACACCGGCTGTAATTAATCTGGCGCGGCGGCGCGCCGATTTGGCCGCGGTCAGATCAATACCGGCGCGCCGGCGGCTAACGGTGCGCCGCCGGCGTCGTCGCTGCGTCAGATGTGTCCCGCCGCCCGTCCCGCCACACCAGTCACCGAAAATGGCGCCAACGGCGGGGTTCATCGGAGGGTGGCGGGAGTCGCCCCGGGAGGAGCAGGGGGTCAATCATATGGAACAGTAGTGGGAACATATGACGATTTATTGAGTATAGTTACCTGCAGGTGGAACTCTAATGTTGGCTATTTCTGTCAGTGGCGGATCCAGTTGGGGGGGGGGGCAAAATGGGCATTTGCCCCCCCCCCAAACGGCATAATTTTAACATTACGCCTATGGACGAGGCATGGAAAGAATCGACAAATTGTTATGGTTTGCCCCCCCCAAAAAAAAACTCTGAGCTGGATCCGCCTCTGATTTCTGTTGGTGTTTACTTTTTTTATTGTTAGTGGACAGGGATAACTGGATGATAAAAACGGATCACCCAAAAGCCCTATTATTACTACCCGCACTGTTTGCGTATAGGACCATCGCATTAAGGAACAGAAAGGTAAAGAAATACACAAAACATTGGAAAATTCTATTCCACACTTACAAGAAAATAACGCTATCGGTGACGAGTTCGCTGGACGTACGGGTTGCATCTTTTAGAAATGCAACCTGTTATCGGATCACGATCAAAAAGGTTATTTCACCCAGGGTATATAAAAATTTCACCCTTCTCGCCGAACATTATTTTCGCCAACATCATTCTCTCGATAAAAATAAAGCTCGCGGGAAAACCTTTTCAGCACTGGCTGTCGCAGCACCTTCAAAATAAGAAAATTCGATATCCGAGCACCTTTGAAAATAAGGTCATTTAGCTCAGTAAATTCATTCAGGTTTCCAAGTCACACTTTTCCAATTGGTTGGGGACTCAATGCGTTAGTATTGAATATAAAGGAATATCGGAAATTTATATCATCAATGTTATATGTATGTGGGTACACAGCACTACATATTTAGGTATCATACACTATAAATAAGCTCATGAACGGTTGTTTGTTAACTGGGGCTTTAGGGCGCGTCGACTAAGGGTCGTTTTGCGCCCAAGGGCCGTGGGCTGATCATGGTTCAAAATGCCTTTCAATGAATAAGGCAATGAAGTGGCTCCAATTGCCATTTGCTATCCTATGTTAAGATTGTTATTTAACGGTGGCAAAGCGCCCGAAGTTCACGAGAAAACAAGGCGTAAGAAGGGACAGCGTAATCAGAAAAGACGTTGACAATTTTGCCGGTGAACAGCCATCAGCTAGGGAGAGGGTTGGCGTTTTTCATAAGGTTTTCACGTGCGCCTTCCGTTCGGTTAGATACGCATAAGTGGTATACCATCGGAAAATAAACAGCCTTCGGGTATCATGGTCAATAGATAGCACTAAATGCAAGCGGATGTTTTCCTAATAATCATACCTAGCCTAACCTGCAGCGGCCCACTGCACAGGTGAGCTATTCATAGCCCCCCACTCTCGTTTTTCTGTAATAACTTCCAAATCGCTGGACATGTCGACGCGAAACTTCTAGTACCTTCCTTCGGCTGCATCAATTTTACACCTTGTGTCAAAATATGAACTTCGCAGCTACCATAGGTCGGTTGTAAATGACTTCAGAGTGACGTCATGTTCAGCCGATTTCGACGCAAAACATTGAGCTACAGCACTTGCTCTTACGAGCTCAGTTTTTTAGCTAGATCCAATTTCTTTGTATGAGAGGGCCCAGAATACACTGTTCTATCAAACTGCTGTCTCGAAATTTGAAAATTTTGAAAAATATATATATTAAATCTTAAAATTCATAATTTCATCTTTTTTCAAAAAGTTTTTGACTTTTCGAAAAAAAAAACAGAAAATGTCTGGTAGAACATATGCCCATGATATACTGTAGCAGGATTCAGCCGGATACCCTAAAAAATAGCCAAGTTATACGCATTATAGCAAAAATTTAACTATTCCTAATCATTTTCTTTTTCACTACGTATTTGAAATCGTTTACCAATATAAATAGCACAATCGTGCTCCTGAGCTAAAACTGCATCTGATTTTTTGTTCTGACACCTTTTGACACCTTTTTGTTCTGACACCTTTTTGTTAAACATTTTTAACTTTGAAATTTGGCCTTCTTGACCTGAAGTGGCCTAATTTCATATAGCTAATTTCAACTCACAATGACCTCAAATGACATAAAAGACACCGAATTCGAAATCTATGGCCTAAATGGACCATAAAACCTGTGTCCCGTGACCGATTCATAATAAAGCTTTCCGTAACCTGTGATGACCTGACCCTGACTTGAAAATCAAAGTACAAATTTGGTACCCTCAGGGTATCTAAAGCATCTATTCACAAGTGCGTAAACCTTAAATAAGCCTTATCTGACCTGTATGCCGGCGGCCAGAGCCCAAAATGTGAACAAGCCAAAAATCGATAACTTTTACTTTGACTTGACCTGTGCCGTCATCGGTGACCTCGAGATCAATAAAATTAGGTTTGCTCGACAGTTTGTCCGGGGCTATCAGACGCCGTTTGAATTTTGACAATCGGACCAGAAGTTTCGGAGTTAGGAGGGGGCTATGATTAGCCCCCCCCCCACACCCCCTCCAGTAGGGCGTGTTATACGCAGGCCAGCGGGTTAATAATTCTTTCATTGGGACGCATGGTATAGGTATCTGAAATATTTCGCCACTTATAATTAGGTACTGTCATAAAACTCAACAACGCAAGGGTTTTGCCTGCTGTGACGACATTTATGACGTCATTGGATGACATGTGACGTCAGCGCCGTTCGCGGTCGCGTGCGCAGACAGGTCATTAATTACTCGGCTAAGCTTGCCTTTCATTCGCCGCTACCCCCCATTAGTCCTTGTGCACTGTGCTCAGAGGCGACTCGAGACAGATATGCCTCAACAGACATCGTATTTTTCTTTTCTTTTGCTCGTCTCACGGACGGAGATTCGAAAAGTTTACGATGCTATTTCAGCATGTAATGATAAATCCGCCGACGGATAAACTAAACCCCCCAAGTCCCGTGTCTCTGGCAGCTGTCTGCTGATTCGCCGCCGTCGAGTTCACCTTGGAGTTCACAAAGGCACCGCACGGCATTCTTCGCCGCTCTTCTGTCCGGCGGCCCCCGACAACACTTCGCACGCTCACAGAGCAGGCGAGACAATTCGCCGCTCCAGTTGCGACTCGACTTTGGTCACATTGAGACACCGTGTGCAAAGTCGAGCCAAATGTGCCCACACGGCGAATTCGCCACTGATGATGCACGGCTGGTGATGGTGATGGTTTGATCACGAATTCCGGCTCGATTGGTGCAGGTGAGTTGGTGTCGCCGGCTGGAGATGATCACTGGCGGCTGCAGAGACGCTCCCGCACGAGCACCCGACTGAAGAATCTGCCCGCCGCGCTGTCGTGCAGGGGCGCACCCAGGCGGGTGGAGGAAGGGGAAG